TTTTACTGATATTGAACTGAAAATATTTTAAGTTTTATTTACCGTTATAACTTTGATAACCATTTCAATGCAAAATATTTGTGAACAGAGTATGATATAATTTTGTAAAGTCATTGTTTATTTCTCGATTTGAGGAGAATTCGTTTGAGCTTTACCTTGCAGCAATTTAGCCTCAGGCGTACACAGGTGTGAATTCAAGCGTACACAGGTGTGAGTATTGTCATTTTGAATGGATTAACAGAAAGAGTATAGCGTTATTAATATACCCAGATGAAATACCCGATGACAATAGAGAAAGAATAATTAAATTGTATAAATTAATTGAAAACTAACATTCAACTTTTTAATTCCGGAAGTGTTACAATATTAAAATGGAACAATTTTCGGTTACGTTCTATGCAATTAGCATTAAGTTAAGATATGAAGTTAAAAGAATAGTACTTTTAATCTTAAAAATTAAATGTTACATTTCCCAATTAATAATCATTGCACATCTGTTTAATTTACTTTACCAGAATTCTTTAACTTGTATTTAAATCTGGCGATGTTTAAATGCTAACAATCGTAAAACTATCGCAATTTTAAAGTTTTTAATTGAAAAAATACAACAGTACAACATGCATGATTTTTTTTTAATTTTCTTATTAACATTTCATCTTACATAGTTAAATTCATTTGACAATCACTTAGACAAATTATTTGTGAAAAGAATACCAATTATCGTTTATTTCATTAATGAATATACATACATTATAAATCTAAGCTAATACATTAATTTGTTTGAGGGTTTTTTTTAGGATAGCCGTCATTAATCCAAATTAGTAATACAATTGTTGTAATTAAAGGCATATCTTAGTAATGTATTACTGATATTGACGATTTTAGAACAGTTCGTCCCAACCTCGTTGTTCTTGAAACAATCTTTACTAGTATACTTGTAAGTTTCCTGACGTATAAGCGCCATTGAGGATGAGCTCCAGAGATAGCAGACTAGTAGCGTATTTGTTTGTTGGGGCAGGAGAGGCCATGCAACCACTTGTACAGATAAACAAGCTTATGTTGTCAACACTATCAGAAAGAGTTCCCATCGTCGGATGGGGTATATGAAGGTTCCAAGAATGAACTATTGACATGTCTGACTCTGAACAGTTAGTAAACGGACTTAACAATGATCTAAAGACATCGACCTCTTGTTCTTGATATTTGAAACTGCATGCATATACACGTTTATGAGAGTCATTATTTATCTTGTGTCTGATGAAAACTAAATGCCTGCATGGTTATCATCTTGCCATACGTTTGAATTGGTTTGGTGGGTGTTCACTCAAAATCGTAATTCAAAAATTGTGTTTGTGAGATGTAGATTCACTTCAATACCGAATATCGTCTACATATTTCACAAGTGTATACCACGGAGAAGATCTGAAGGTATATTACTCCCATTTTGTTTGGATGTGGACCATCGATGTTTACAGCAATATTTAATGAATAAGATGATGATGGTAGAAAGAACTATGAGCGTCATGAGGAAAATATTACATGCATGTCGGACCATGAGTTGACAATCTGTATAAAAAGATTTCCAATACATCCATATTGAGTAGGAATTTTTACATGCTATACTCTCGTACTAGTATTACAGGGTTCTTGTGTCGTTTAACTCTGACACACATCTTTTACTTTAAGATGTATGAAAGGTTCTAAATGTATATATATATATCTTAAATGTAACAATAATCAAACGCCTATAGGCAATCACTAAAATGGTATGAAGTTTTTATACAGATTTGTTCTTATTTACACAATCATTAACAAACTAAATAAATTTAACAAAGTAACACCGTGACACTACGATATAACAAATGGGATACTAATTATGTTTAACCATGCTATGCAGAAACTTAACACATCAAGCAGGAACATATATATTAATATACTGTTCCCAGCATCAAGTTAGTGCACGTGAATACCAATTAGGAACACGATACATGTGATTTTTTATAACTAAAAATATCAAAGCGAGCAATAACTTTGTCAAGCAAACATTTTTATCATTATGCCTCTCTTTATCTCCGCTCCTTTACAATAACTATTTCGCTTTTCGTCGATCATTCTCTATATTGTTCTCTATTCGGTTATTTTTTTTTTCACTGCCACTCTTACTCCGCTCCTTTTCCCCCTGTCGTCCTAATCCTTATAAAGATAGGGACATTAGACATAGAAGGGGCTCTCTTATCTTCAATGAATTAATATTGATAGTGACTATAAGTGCTGCATTACTTTATATATCTGCATGTTTGCCAATCGACAAAAGTTTGTATTTGCGTGAAGAATTTTTTTTTCTTCAAAAATATGGTCCAGAATCATGACAAAACAATATTCATTTTACCAAAATGTTCAAAGGTCATGTTTATAATTTTTTTTAAACTTACTATCAGCAAAAATAGTGGATAATATTATTATCAGAACATCATTCATTAAAAGGTGGAATTATAATTTCAAACACACACAAGATAAACAACGTTAGACACAAATATATGGTTCAATAAATGTTACCTGTGCACACCGGGTACCTCAATAAAGAGGCCATGCATGAACCTGTATTATATAATTGTGTAATACGAATTTTTAGTTGACAGGATGTCACTGGAATACCCAGGGACGTGTATCTAATATACGTCCTTGGAATACCTAACTGAATGTGTCGCTCTGACACGACATCTATCAATAATTCTGACATACCTATTATCAATTCGGGAGGAAGCCAAAATATATATATATATAATAAGATAACGTAAATAAAATTAAAAAAAAAAAAAAAACCTATAAATTTTTCACCGAACATACCAGATAGAGTCACACATTTAACTGTAAAGCTAAGTGTCTTTATAAGTGACCGTTCCGAATTGATTCCGTATCAATTTGATATAATTTAAAGATTAGTTAAAAAAAACACTTTTAATAAAAAAAATTGAGATGTCCGATATTTCGATATTTACATATCTATAACCTTGGAATATTATACTATATCAACATATTATGTCCCAGCTAAAACCTCTTCCTAACATTGCTCATTGTCAATAGCCGTTAAATTTCATAATTAAAAAAATGTTATTTTATATCGTATATCTTTATTAATTGAAAAATTATCTTGTCTAAATACGGAACTATTCTTTATACAAATCAATGCACTTTATATAAAAGAGGCATACTAATGAATCTTCTGTAAATCAGTGATTGTTACAAGAGCACTGCATTTGTCTTTCTTATAATTGAAACTGTTCTTCCTCATCAAATATATATTTTTTTTATTCAACGAGATCTTATCATATAAGGATTTGATAACTATAGCTATCAGAACTGCTAGGTTATTTTGTTATTAAAAAAGGATAATAACCATCGAATCTCCCTCGTCACAATATTGTTCAAAATGGTCTTCACACACCAACTTGTGATTGCTATAGATGCAACTATTTACTGTTAGTTTAAGGTTGTACAACCATGTCTGATACAATTCTTTCTTTTTTGTGGGATTGGGAAAACTATGTAGACTTTTGTCATAACCTTGTCTGACAGAACAACCGTACGCTTGACAAGACATTTTGACACTGAATAATCGTCTACGGTAATCCCCAATTGATGATGGGAGTTTTTAACGCACGGTCGGTAAATCCCCGATTCTTTTTGTTCTTTGTGGTTTATAGATATCACGTGACTTTTTAGATCGAACATGCCGACAAGATGGCGATATGTCGAGAACTGATAGTGAATTTCAAAATTCGATTTTGATCTCTTTACATAGAGAATAAAAGTTTATTATTTATGAACATGTGGTTTTTTATGCTTAAAGAACAAAATATCAATTTTTCATTTTTTTGCGGAGTTTCCCTTTAAATAGAGTTGGATACATTTAATTTAAAATCTTGGTCTTTTGAACAATTAAGTCCTCAGTAATTTCATATATTCCTTAGCACAGTTCTGACTACTGTTGGGTTTTTATTCATAATGGACCCTATTCAGGTTGTTGAGATTCAAGTAAAATATAACTTGCATTTCATGATTGTCCTACTTGAATTTAATTATTTTAAAAGTCGATAGGAACCATATGTTACAGCTGTGTTTTCTGTTAATCAGTAGGATCTTCATATTGTCTGGTAATTTCAGTCTGTTACCCTAAATATTCCTAACCTATGTACTTTTAATACTTAATATTTCTAATTTATGTACTAACAATAATAAAGGTCAATATATGTCAATATCACAGGAGTAATCTTTGGGAAATAAAATGAAAAAAAAAAAAAATTGTATATAAAGTCGATAATATACTATCTTAAATACCAGTTGCTCAAAATGAAAGAAACTTGTACTTATCTGTAATGAATACATAAAGATTAATTGATTACAATATTGCTTAATATAAGTCAAACAAAAAATTAAATAGAGTTTAATTATCAAAATTGGTCAAGAGTTATCTCCCTTTGTTTGATGGCACATCTGTGGAATGATAAACAGACATTGATTTAGTAATGTCGTAAAGATAGTTTGTAATCATCAATACATGCATAAAGTTGTCTCTAGTTGATGATTTATTTGATATCAATTTCCTCCACAGCAAATATTATTCAATTTAAATATTGTGTAATTTGTTTTTTTTTTGGGTTAAAATATGATATTTGGACAATGATCAGGGGCCGATCCAACCATTTTTAAATGTCCCCATTCAAAAGCATTGATTGTCAAAAAAAGGGGGGTTCCAACCCCTGACACCCCCCCTTTTTCTGGATCTGCCACTGGTGATTTTTTAATATATGACATCAGTAAGTGTTTGGAAGTGCACAATTAAACTCTTCATTAATATTTAGATTTTAATTGATTGAAATTTTTTATTACATTATAAAAGCTATGAATTGAGGTTACATTCAAGGTAAAGATAATCACTGTCAGCCAATTTCTTCTGTTATCTAATGTAAAAAATGATGTAACTCTTTCATATATTTCAGGAAGATACTGGTATTTTTATAATAAAGCCCCCTGTACCATTTAGAATAGCTAAAGCCTTAGATCCTCTGATATACAGGAACACAGAACTTGATATTTGGGAAGAAGATAAAAGAGGTAGGTTGTTCAGGCATATTATTTACAATCAGATTTAAGGACTGTTCGAAAGGATAAAGATAAAAAAAAAATGCTGTTCTGTAGAAAGATAACTACAGGTTGACAAATCTTGTGACAAAGACAAAAATTGATGTATTGATTAATGATTTTAAATTAGTTTAATGCAATAGAATTTAAAATTAATTAGAAATAATTGAAAATTTTACGGGATTTCCTTGCAAGGTATCCCAATATGAATTTTCAAGTGATCTTTAGATATATGAACAGCTGTTTATTTATTGTGGTCATCGTTTACTTGACATCATAATCTTTTCAAGGTCGGCTTAGATTAAGATGTGGATAATATCTTATTACAGTGTACACTGTATATATACTGAAACAGAGAAACTCTTTTATTAACTTTTAAGAAATGGGATAAATGTATTTCTATAATTCTGTGTGAAATGATTCTGATAAATATGATAAATTTTTGTATACCACATGTTATTAGTATTTGTTGTGTGTGATTTGTTGCTATATTTATTCCCAACATTGCATTCATTGTTTTCCTTTAAATCATTATAGAAACAGATTCTACCACTTTACCCAATTAATTATGACATGTATCTACTCGAGATAGTTAAAAACTTAAAAATTTAATTATGAAGTAAATAGAATCTATATTCATACACTTTGGTGACGGCTTTTACAATTAGTACAAGTGCATTAGATTTAATCTTTTATTAATTAGAATTAAAAAAAAATATGAAAGTCACACATGTATTAAAATTGAGAATGGAAATGGGGAATCTGTCAAAGAGACAACAACCCCACCAAAGAGCAGAAAACAGCCCAAGGCCGACAATGGGTCTTCAACACAGCGAGAAAATCCTGCACCCAGAGGCGGGCTTCAGCTGGCCCCTAAACAAAAATGTATACTAGTTCAGAGAAAATGGACGTCACACTATGTATTACAATTTTCCAAAGCTAATGATCAAATTTCATCATTTCTGAATTATATTTACATTACATTTATTTGACTATTTGATACATTAAATTTAAAGTTTATTCCTCATATTTTGTCACATATATGCCCTAACCATGCTAACAGTGTAATTACTTCAAATTTACTTGATGTAAAACATAGTTAAACACCAGCAATTCCAAATCTTTGATGGTGATTCCAGCAGGAAAGAATTTTCAATGAAGGATTCTTTTTGAGAATATAAAGTAAAATTATATTTCTAAATTATAATTTTCATATGGACGGACACCAGAGATTAAGAATTATCAAGGTCATATGAATAAAAAAAAATGTCTTCCTGACTGGATTAAAGGTGTATGGGTACAAGCGTCTTCAGTTTAAAGTTTCGCCATGCCACCCTACTATGGATTAAAAAAAAATAAGTGTTTTGATCATTCATGATTGATAATTGAGTGTCTGATAACATTAATGAATTAAGGTTTATTGCTAGTGAAATGTTTACCCGTTAAGACCTTTAAATTTAAATGCTGATTTAGATTTTTAACTGCTATTAAAATTAAACGTAGGGGATGTCCCGAAATAGGTTTCCATTCTCTAACTTTAGTTTACCTCAACCAAATAATATGAAACTTACACACAATGCTTATTACCACAAAACACAGATCAAGTTCGAATTTAGGTGGCGTGAATTTTGCCAATCTCGAGTTGTGCCCCTTTATAATGTTAGATGGAAGCTGGGGCATCTCCATTTATTTGTACTATTTGTATTTTCTTTTTCTCTAAGACTTCCAACATAATTCAATCCTGATCAGTAAAGCAGGCAAGACATTTCTAAATGTGGACTCTGTTTGTATATTCTGTGGATTTATTTGACGGAGAACTGGGATAGCACCAGTTTCATGCAGTATTCAATGAGATAAAAATAGGAATCTTCCCTTTAATGTTTGATTTGGGTTATCCTTTGAAGCTTCTGTGATGAGCTCTGTATCTTATCATCTTTCATTTCAGAAGCAAGACACAAAGCCATCGTATACTGTCCTGGTGATAGGTGTATGGTAAGTACAATACAACTGGTTGGTTGTAAATAATCTTTGGTGACAAACATATATTTTGATAAGTCGAGAATAATTTGTTTTCTATGATAACATCTGTGATTAAGGCTATTTGTAATCTATTTAGACAATTTGGGCTATGGCCATTGCTCTGGGTTTAATTGTCAACTAAAATCTCTTCATGTTATAATCCTCTCAAAAACTACAGACAAACCTTCCTCTAACGGTCACTTTCAGACCATCCCAAACGGTTTCTCTATATAATTTAACACTTTTGAATGGTCACTTGTCTAACACGGTCAACTGTCACCTAATTTTGCATGACATCATCATTTCTACTTTTAACAACGGCTATTTTCATGCTTTAAACAACGAAAATACATCATGACGAAAAACGTGTGTGTTCATTATCTAGGTCAAAATGAAAATCGGAACTTGTTTGCAACTGAGATCGTGCAATAGGCGGTGAATTTGTGAAATTCTTTTGTTACACTCCTTTATGTTTCCGTTTAAAATCGTATCTTCGACTTGTTTCTCCATGAATATTTACTTTTTCAAATGTTTTATTCAAATTTGGAATGCAGGAATCCGCCACTTTTTATTTGTCTGCTCACAAGAACAAAAACTCTACCCATTGAAAACACTAAAACAATTTTCGAAGATCCAGGTCATGTGTGATATTGGAATCAGAATTTTTTCGAAACCTCATTTAAAAGGTCACCTCTCTTTAGTGGTCACTATTAATACTTCCCATCAGTGACTGCTTAATACAGAATTGACAAACTTTTATGATGATTCTTAGCCCATTTTGTTTAAATTTTATAACAAAGATTTGTCATAGCAAATTGCAAAGTTAATTTTTTAAAGTAATTTTATGAATGGATAGTTCATTGATGTTTTACTTGAGAATTATAGAGTGGATAAATACAGACAGATAAGAAAAGACTCAAATGCTCCAGATGTTACTGATTTACACGATACTTGTCATGTACTAGTTTAATCAAGTCATAATGGGAACTAGTACATGACAAGTTAGAGAGTACAATTAATCTAAAAATTACTTGAATGATCGAGGTCGAAACTAGGGCGGGCAGGGGTCTTACACCTCTCATTGTGATTAGGTTGCTATTAGGTCCTCGGGATTCTTACACCCCATTCTTGATTGGGATTACACTCTGCCCTCTGTATTCTTTCACCTCCAATGGTGTAATTGGGTTTACACTAGGCCAGAAAACTTGATTGCTTTATAATGGAAAAAGATTGTGGTGTGAAAATTTTAGATCAACCAAACAATAAATTGTGAAAATGTTTGAATATGCATCTTTTATTTAAATAAATCATGATTATGCATCAAGTTTATGAAAGTACACAAAAATGTAACTTCAAGCAGATTTTTATCTTTTGCAACTTGAGCCTATAAATTTATGTTCATTTTATGCATTTTACAGTTAAAGATTTCATAAAGAAGATATGTTTGTCACTGCTCATAAATGACTACACATTTAAATTAAAATTTGAATTTCAACAAAATGTGTATCAAATTTTTAATGCCTAATGTATTTAAATGAGAATTTACGAACTACAGTAATCAATAATGAACCAAAGTTTTGAGTATAGAAATTTATTTCCTTGGAGATCCTGTAGTGGTGAGAATTAGTTTAGACTTGATGCTCAAGTTTTGTGAAATGGTTATATCGGTTTATTGTAAAGATGTATGAACTTATTGGTTGATCAGACAGAAAATGTGTGCTACATTTAAATTAGCATTCTAATGGGTCATATCTACACTTTTAAATCCACCCAGTTTGTATTAACCTAGCTAATGATTTCTTCCATGGAGGCTGACCTTTGTCAAAGTGAGACATAATAAAGATTGGTGATGTTCAGTATTTTTACTAGTTGCAGAATTCAAAACAACATTACAGTTTAAATGAATAGTCTCAACTTAAATTTGGTGGTGTTGAAGTAAAATTTATCATGGTTAACAAAATCAGTGTAACAGACTGAGGCCATTCAATGAAGCTTATGATAAATATACATTGGAATTGACACAAATCAAACAATATCCTTTAAAAAAAGTGTTCAAATTATGTTAGTTTTCTTTTGATATTATTATACTAAATATGCCAATCAAACTTTGAAATATCGCTTTACAGCAGGGGTCAATTCAAGGGAGATTATTTCAACCTCTCGGTTGACAACGCCATGGCTAAAAGGACAAGATATTAAGGTGGCATGATACAAAATCTGACTGATCAGTTTGACATATTTCTGCAGAAGGAAGAATTTTACATTGCTTCCATAGGATTTTTTGCATGGTTGAGTCTGTTTCTCAGATACTGTAAGCAATTGGTCAACTATATTTAGTTAATGGTGTGATAGTAAGGTGGACATGTTTGTCTGGTAGGATTCATCTGACCTTGACCTCAGTTATATGGTTCATTTATGTCATGAAATAGAAGTTCCAAGTGGAAAAAATATTCTGTAATATTATTTCCACTGGAACAAATATTACAGTATTTGTTCCTTACGGAATAAAGGATATACAATTTATATTCCAATAGGAACAGATATCATGGCATTGTTTATAACAAAGTTTCCAGGGGAACTTCTGTTAGGCGGAACAAATATATGTTGACACATTTGTCAACATTGATGTTTGTGGTTAGTTCAGTTTCTCAATCATGATCAGTAACGCAGGCAAGACATTTCAGAATGTGCACTCTTGTTTTATAATATTGTACAGTAATATACATATATTATTTTACCTTTTTTGAAAACTATTTTTCAACCAAAAAATGGTGATTGAACATAAATATTTACTTAACCATTAATTTAAAACATAATACCCTCTAAAAAAGAGACATTTTGGGAGAAGACTTTATAAGTTTGATTAACTTGTGTCTCATCCCTTTTGCATATTCAAGCAAATAAGATATGTTTAAACTAGAGACATTTTGTAATTCCCTTAACTGAAAAAAGTTTTTGTGTAAATGTAAATTGTATAATAACCAGAAGAAATTTGTTTTGTTTTAAAATCACAAAAAAAAATTGCTATCGAAGTAAAAGTTATTGTATTAGACTTGAAACGTCGACAAAGTAGGGAGGTTTTCATAAAATTTACATTCAAGGCTATTAAAAAATCGAATTTTTAAATATTTATTGAATTCAGCAGACGTCCCAAGGTCAGGACAAATTTACATTAATGGATTAATTATTTACTAAAGTTTATGAAAGACATCATACTGCTTTATATAGTAGTGTGAGAAATCTTTCATCTATGAGTTGTGAATATTTAAATGCCCAAGTGAAATATAGGGAGTTTGCCAGGCTGTAGACATGGATGAGTGAATCTTTTTGCAGAAATGCTGTGATATTGTCTGGTTGAAGGGAGTTAATGTAAACGCCCAACAACATAATTGATATTTATTTTAAATCTTATATAAAAACACTCCAATGTGTGAGATATTTTTGTTTATTTATTTATATTTGCAAGTCACCACTAGAAAAAGTATAAGTTGTTTAAAATTTCATAATCTAAACATTTATACATATAGTGGAACTCTCTGCCCTTTTTAAATGACTCATCATAGACAGGAATTTTTGTTATAATGGATTTTAATTCTTAAAAGGTAAATAGAAATTTTAGTCTTGCATCTTAGTGTCATATCTAACATATATATGATAAGAATGACCATGAAGTGTTTTAGTAATACCATTTAATATTTAAAATGTGTTTTATGTTGTTTTGTTTTTTAAAAATTTTGATATTACAATCGTCCTATTTTCTGGTGTACATTATAAAAAGGAAGCAAAAGCAAAGATAAGGTACTTGCACTGCAAAATGTGAATATGAAATCACCAAAATAAGATGGATGGTGCTTCTGTACAGAATATGAATAAAAGCCTTTAAGAGTGCTATTGTATTAAAAAAATTAGCTGACAAGTTTTCATACATGTTTCAAATATCAGTGGGAGCCTCCCATATCTCCTGATGATATACAGTAGTATTAATAGTCTTTTAACAGCAACTAAAATTCCCACAACTGAGTTAAAAAATCTCCAAATGTCGCCCTGCTTCACCATTATTTCAATATAACTAGATGTTTGCCCTGTAAAAACCAACCAATTGTAAAAACTAGCCAATTGTTTCCTCTTATGTAAAGACTAATCCGGTAGTCGTGTACTAATACATTAAGTTTCATCAGAAGTAATCAAGCATATATATTCAGCAATTTTGAAAACAAAAATTATTTTGGATTTAAGGGCAAACAAACGCTTTTTCTGAAATTTAAGAAAGTTGGAATTTAAAAAGATCCTGAGTAATTGTTCAATGAAGAAGTGTCAATTTTCATTTACAAATAAAAGACAACAATTTAAAAAACCTTCACAAAATTTCTTTAATGTTTGCAAGTATTGTTGACTGAAGCATTTTTATATTTAATTGTTATTTACACGTCCATACATTTCTTCTACTTAGAAGTATATGGTCAGATGGTGATCATGAACGGATACTTCCTGAATTGAAACGATTAAGGTATATTGTTTAGTCTTGAGAGCCATAGCATGAAAATGATAACATTCATTATTTTATGTTTGTAGATAGTATCAGAAGAAGGAAAACAATTATATCATGGACACATACAAGAAGTGTTTGACAACAAAGCTGTGATCGCATTTATTGAAGAATTAGGAGAAAGGTATGCATCCCAAGTCCTCTGTCTCAAACTGGAAATCTTTTCTTGTGTATCTCAGGCAATATTAAGTATTAAGTATTAAGATAAATTGTCAAATTACTCTTTAAATAATAATATGTTTGAATATGTAAATTTAATATTTCATGAGGAACTCTGCATCGATATGGCAGTCAACTTTCAACATAATTATTTTAATAATATTTGAGTTATCTCCCATTTTGTCTTTAATATTATAACTTCAAACCCACTGTAGTGTTAGATAGTACAATTCAATATTAGAATCTTAGAAATGGTGCACTGTAACCATTATTTTGACGAATACATAATTAACTTGTTTTCTAAAATAAATTTATGATTTGAAATTATGATTGTTGATAGTTGATTGGTCTCTTAACATCCTTCATGCTTAGAAAACATCCAATGACCTTTTTCCTTTAATATAACCTGACATAAGCCTAAAATTGAAAACAGAAAAGAAAAATATATATAAAAACACACTTTTGTATTACTTGTTTACACAGGCAGGTATAATTGTGCTTTTAATAAATTGAAAGGAATGCATTTTATTTAGATAATTAATATGATAATTGACCTTTCAGGCTTTTTTCTTATTATTGTACTGGAAGTGTATTGACCTTTTAAGTTTAAGGAGATAATCCTGTGATGTCAAATGCATTTTTTTGGTGTTGTTTTGAAATTGTAATGGACAGTGCTAAGTAGATAATCTTATATATGTATTATGATGATTTCATTAATACCAGGACTTCCTTCTTAATTTCAGGAAAGAAGTAGATGTAGATAGACTACGTCCAGACAAATCAGCTAAAGCTAGTAAGTCACAATACTTTAGTGGTGAAAGTGTCGAGTAACACATTCAAATATTATTTAGGAATATTTCATTTTTTGTGATTTTATCATTGAGAGGTAAAATTATATGTAATTTATTATTTGTCATTGTAATTATGATATATAATTTTATTTAACTTTTGCTCCAAGAAAATTGCAGTTTGAAAAAGAAAATTCACATTACAATTAAAATTTTATTCTGCATTGTTTTGTTCTTAAATGATTATATTTCAACACTTTTATTGTTTATGAGAGCTTGTCAATTCGTAAAATATGATTTATTACCATTTGTATTTTAGGAGTTTGAAATTTTCTATTGTGATTACTTCCCTTGAAACTACAATACCCTTGTTAATTTTTATAGATAAAACAATACAATTTGTTCTATCATTTTTTTCAGGATCTATTATTAAGCACTGGCAAAAAAGGCGGGTAAGTGTACATTAGTTAAGTTTTCTTTTTTAACATTTAATTCCTGCTATGAATAATTACTTTAGGTTTTCTGGTATATATATTTGATATTTTGATTTTGTGACGTATATATTAATATATTTCCATAACTGGATATCAGAATATCCTCTACTTTTGCCCTAACCTTGTATGAAAGAGCAGAGCTGATTGATTGATATTTGGAGAAAGATTTTCGTACAAACTTAATTTTGCATTCATGTCTAAATCCCATGTTATCATGAGCAGAAGTGAACATATTTATACTGATGATTATTTTATTTTCGAGGGTACCAATTTTTGACGATGGACAAAAATTATATTTTTTGACATCTTTCTAAGCACATGATAAATTAAAAAAATTGGATGTCTTAATGGATTCCATTCATTTATTTTTTTCTCTCTCCTGTCCAGGTTTATAACATTTTGAATTAAATTGTAAAGTTTTAAAAGTTGACTGCCTCAAAATTTTATAATAAAGAATATTAATACACAGAAGAAAGTCCAAAACCGTGGATTCAGATAAATTTTTCCAGGTTTTTTTTTCCATATTTAATGTCGATGTGTGTATTGATGTAGCTTCTTCATTAAAGCCTCTATTATATGTTTTATTTCATTGCATGCAGAATTTGTTTTAATAGCCTTGGTGTTGTTGTTATGGGTTTTATGTTTTTTACAGATGAAAGCAATGACTGTTGAACAGAATCTTCCCCCTCGCATGACCCAGCCTGCAGCTCTCCCCCCTCCTCCTCTTTCTAATGTACAGAATGAAAGTAAGTAGGAATGTGGTGTAGCTATTTATAAAAAGGGGGTGTGGCTGTTATTGGAAAGTTGGACAGCAGTTAATAAAAAGGGGGCATGAGAGTTATTAGAAAGGGGTTTGGCTATTATTGGAAAGTTTGACAGCAGTTAATAAAAAGTGGGCATGGTGTTTTATAGAAAAGGGGTTGGGCATGTGAAAGTGGGAGACAATAAAAAGGGGCATGGCAGTTTATAGAAAGAAGGGTTTGTCATTTTTTGGAAAGGGGGGGATATAGCAGTTAATAAAAGAGGGCATGGTTGTTTATAGAAATGGGATGGGCTGTAATTGGAAGGTATGATGGCAGTTAAATAAAATAGGGTACTTTCTGTTAGTAGGACTAGTAGCATGTGGTTATTTGGAATGGTGCATTGGAATATGGTAGTAAATGGAGTTGTTAGAATTTTTGATTATAGAAAGTGAGAATTTACAGTATTATAACCAACAAACTTGTCTGACAGATGATTGTTGGATCGAAACGATAAATTAGTTAGATCATATTGACAATTTATTTGAGATTTAACCTTGGTGTCTAGAACAAAAATCTTACAGCAAAAGTAGGCTTAAGATTGTTTTTGCTTGAATTCCATTCAAATTCTTTTGGCAAATCTACAAGTATTTACAAGTTGATGGTAAGCTAGTATTGTAATTAAGTACTAGTTTTACAGTAAACTACCTTTCAGTACATAACTTGAAAGATTTTAGGGTTTAATTGGTTTTTTGAATGTGTCATCCATTTGTTGTTTATTATACCTTACACTCTATGGTAAATGTTTCCTATGTTATATCATTTCGGTTATGGGTAATTTTCTTAACAAACAGTTGCATGTTGTTTCCTTTACTATTTGAAGTTTCAGTGAAAATTAAAAAAAACAATTACGATATTATATAACATGATGGTTTTCAGAACAAGCAGTACCAGTATCTAACATGCCACCCCCTCCACCAGTTACGATGGCTGTCCCATTACAGCCACCACCAGTCTTCCATCAGCCTCCACTTGTGGCATACGGTGGCCCAATGATGGAACAACCACCACATCCACATATGAATGTACCTGTGGCATGTCTTGGTATGGATGGTCAGCCACCACCCATTCCACCTCATATGATGAATGGTGGTGCCATGGTTGCCTACAATGGTGAGAATGGCATGATGGGACAAGAAAGTATGACAAATCCTGTAGTTTATGTTCCATTCATGGAAACAATTATGCCTACAGAAGTTAATGTGGATTATCCTCCTTCTGAAGATTCCAGGGGATTGGATCTCCCTCTTAATGGTATGTATTTTATTAGATAGAGTGCTAATGGATGATTGTTTAACATGTTGGCACACATGGTCTATGTTGTGGCAAGAACAACCTAGGTAAAAAAACGGGACAATTTCAATTAGAATATGGTTCCTAAAATTGTATGATATTATCTATTTATTCGATTCAGAGCTGTAGGAGAAAGAAAAATTTATCCCTCGCAAAGTTTGTCTGTCTTTTGACCTTGTTTACGATAACATCTGCAAAAAGACAACCAACAAAATTATTTGATATTTCATATTAAACTTAAAACTTTAGGAAAGGTGAAAAAACTGTTTTGTGATGTGTAAGTGTGAAAATAATGTTGTTACTTGAGAAACTTCATCATTGTGATGATCATAATTTGTAAAGTACAAAGATATGCAAGCATTGGAATAATTTATTAAATTTAGTGGTAAGATGATTTTTTAATCTTTCATGAAAAAAAGTCCATATGACAGATTTCTCAAAAATTTTCATAGAGCGATAATCTAGATAGTTTTCAGTGAAAGAAAACATTTGTAAACTTTAATAGAAAATACTTATGCTGATTCCTGTCTTTCTGAAATATGTACATTTCATTTTGAATTTTAAAGTGGAAGGTGTGGCTAAGGGCTTTATACTGTTAATGACTGCTCGAATAGAAGAATTGGAACATAAAATCTTCTCTGTCAAATCTGACCTAGAACATGTGGAAACTTTCATTTACTCGTTTATAAAATACTGTTTTCTTTTTCAGATATCAACACACTAAGATTCTTTTTTAACCTTGGTGTCAGTGTAAGTATTAAATTGTCTCAGAATAATGAGAAATTCCATTAACAAACATATTGGAGTAACTGTACATAATATGCCAGTTTGAAAATGTATTGTGATGGGATAAACTTCATCATTCCTATAATCATATGTGATTGATTATCTAATAACAAAGATTCAATAATAATAGCAATGGTTTATGTAAATGTGCAAGTCGTGAGATATTTACACAATTCGCAATGGGTAAATATCCGTGAATCTTTTCTGATTGTGAACTTTTCCTTTTTGGAAATTTACTGGACAGATTATTTCTAGGGTATTGTTCCCAATGGAATGTGTGAAAGTGAAGAAATACACTAAAGCACAGCTGAATTAAAATATACATAACATCTTAAATGTGAGTTGGGGACAATTCAGGTGTACCTGACTTGGTACTAAATACAAAGCAAGTTTAGAATTTAAATTCTTGTGGATAGTTGCATTTGGCAATCATGCCACATCTTAAAATTTTTATACTAGGGCTGCTCTGAACGTTGAAAATTTTCACTAGTACAAGTATTTTGTAGTACACATACTGTGGATTCATTTATTTTCATGGGTACCAATTTTCGTGGATTGAGGAAAACTTGCACTTTTGTTGATAATTAATTTCATGGTTTTGCCAAAATCTGCATACCAGCCAATGGAAAATTTGTAATTTGTTGAACATTTAAATTCGTGGTTCACCTGCACCCACGAAATCCATGAAAATTAGTATCCAAAGAAAAATAATGAATCCACAGAAGTATACATGTTTTTCATACAGTTGAAAATGAGAACACAAAACAAAATGCAGAATATTTTTGCTTTCAAATGTTAAATCATTGACTTCCAAAATATCTCTATAGATAAAACTAGATATAGGAGCATATGTCAGTTTGAAACAACCAATCAACAAAAACCAACAATGGACTGGTGTCTATATCATGTATAGCTCTAAATAGAAAAGTAGTGTTTGTTATAGTTATTAATAGAAAAGTAAATTCTTCTTTTTATTGGATGATTTTATATTTTGATTATCTGATGGGCATACACCATATAGAAAATTATTTAGAACAATGGTGATGCATTGATTACAGAACATCAAATGCAATGTTTTTATATTCAAATGCAAGTATTATAATGATAGAATTTTTTTTTATTTCAGCATTACAGAACTGTTAGTCTTCTGAGTCACTCGATGGCTGCTAGTCACAATGGAATCACACAGGGTCAGTCTCCGATTGTTTTATGTCAGTCTGCCCCAGTAACAAAATATAAAACTAGTCCTAGTAATGGAGTTGAGTGTGCTCCCGTCTTTACAACTTTCATACAACCAACAACGCATAGTCCGGACAATGGTAATGAAAATGACGACAGAAGTAGTAACATATCGAATGATAGCGGGTGTGAGGCAAACAAGAATGATAGCGAACAAGATAATGTCAAAAATAACGAGGGTAGCATGAATGAGAGAAATGGTAATAGTTCAGATATGTCAATATCCGATTCTGTCAGCACTCCACCTCCAGAGATCGATACATCTTCAGACCATGGTTATAAGACTGTTAAACGTAGGAAATATTTTATGTATAAAAATCTCAAGCTTATAAAGCCGATAAAAGAAATTCCTACAAAATATCTTGATTTGTTAAAATATTTAAGTCTTGAAAAATCAAGGTGTGAGGGTGAACCAATCATTTTGGCACCTCAGAATGTACCTCAACCTGTTAATGTTGGGAATATTGCACATAATCAGATGCCACTGTCACAGTGTAATTCATGTCAAGTCAACTTGAACCCTTCGGCACAGAGTTTTGTTCCAGGGAAAGTTCCAAGTGGCATGGTAATTTCAAATTTACCAAATAGCTGTAGTAGTCGAGGCAACAATAATACAAGTAATAGTAAGAATAGCATGCCACCACCATCCTCTCCTTCTGTGCACACTGCATGTTCTAGTCATACTCGCCTGCCTAATATGCCTAAACCTTATGTATCGCCATTGCCACATAACATTAACTTTTCACATTTTCATACCATTCCCTTTCCAGCAGGTCAATGAAGATCACAAAGATTTAAGTTTCCAGGTTAGAAGCATCATTCACCTAGGTGCAGGGCCTCAGCCTCATTTTATGATGTTGGTGACGGAAGAAAAAAGAAAAAATGACATTATGTATTTTGGTGCTCAACAAAGGTTCATGCATTAATAAACATTCATCAGAAACAGAAATCCAAATTGCATATGAACTTATTCTAGTCAAATGAGTGTTTACTTCAAAGACAATTGTTGCCATGGTGATGGGTTTTAGTTCTTTGGTTGTGGATGTAAACTTTTGATATATATATGAATATCTGCACATATTTCTCCTATGAATACTAAATTACCATACAGCAGACTATAATTTAAAAGTCGACAAGTTCAATAATCAAACATCTGAAATGGGGTATAATTTTCATTCGATAGATAAACATGTTCCAGACAAATAGAATATACTAGCAAACTGTCTGCGGATGCATGATCTGCCTTTCTGTGAACAATTTTTGCACGTTTATGTTCAACCACTGCTGTATTTACAGGATCTTGTTAGGCACATGTCTATTAATGCCCTTCATTTTCTTTTATTAAGGCTCCCAGGTATCAAGGGAGGTGAGATCACTGGATAGTATTGTTTCTAACTTTAGAATCAATACTGATGCTGAATCTACCAAATAGACATAATTAAACTATTTCAAGTCATAAAAATTATGTTAACATGCTGTGTATTAATAATCCATTTTTCTTGTTACCGGTAATAAAGATATCACATTTTTCTCCTGTAAATACTAAATTACAATACAGCAGACTTTGTAATTTAAAGGTTGATGAGTTCAATAATCAAATATCTGAAATGGGGTACCATTCATTGGTAGAGGGATTTGTATGAATAGACAATATCAATTTTTGTTGCTATTATAGTTCCTTCATTTCTTATCAGCTTGTCTTCAAATTTATATAAACAGGTTTCCACTCATCAAAACCGTGGATGAGTACAATGATGTAAGAAAAATCTGAAATGGGGAGCCATTTTTCAGAGAGGGAATTTGTGTAAAAAAAATTCCCAAATTTATTATTGTTGCCAGGACAAAACCTTCTTTTGTTTAAAATTCTCTTCAAATTCATATGAGAACTCCAGTCATCAAAACCGCGGATGAGTTCGATTTTGTCAAGAAAAAACAGAAATAGGGTACTACTTAAGGGGAATGGGACTTGTATAAATATCCCAAACTATTATGGGTTGGATAGAATCACTCTGTCTGCTGTATGGTACACATACACATCATATATTTCATAATGTATAAAACTTTCTTTCACTGTTAGTGTCACTGGACTATGTTGCATATCGTTTACAAATGGCAGCAATATTATAACCTTTTTGTACTTTAAATACTAAATTTTATAATGATCAACATTTAACATGCACATTTAAATGAAAAAGAGAAATTTTAAAAGTGAAATAGCTACTCTTCAAAAACACCCTTTTTCATCAAAGAACAAGTTCTAGAGTAAATGGTCACGAAGTCTGTTTACTCGCATAACACTCTTGACAAGTCATCTTTGCTCATAAATATTCTCTTTAGATTTGTTAAGATATCAGTGAAATTTATTAGCAGAAGAAAGATTGAATAGATTGATTTGTTGCATTTTACATTATTTAGATAAATATGCAGTTGAGAAAATAACATTTTTTGTCAACTCCAAATGTTATATCCTAAAAAGTTAGTTGTCATGGTTACATTGCTGTCATTTTATATTTATTGCTTCTTATTAAACACCCTACCGTATACCATGCTTGCATTTTTATTTTAAACATTCTTTCATACTCACAGATTTTCATACCACAAACAGATCTGTTGTAAGATCACTAAGGAATACTTGAATCTGAATCCTTCATGATTTTAAAATTCAGGTACATTTTTGCCTGTCTGCTTGTATGAAGGTAAAACTGGAGAAAAAGCTATTTCTCAATTTTTTTTAAACACATTTATAATTCAGGTATATTTTTGCCTTTCAGCTTGTTTGCAGGTAAAACTAGAGGAACTGCAATTTCTCAAATTTTTTTTTTAACAAAGACATGTTTCAGTTCTCATTTATAATCTGTTTTACATTAAGAGGTTTGGCCCTTTTAAAATACATATATGCCATTTATAAATTTTACAGACATTTTACAAAACTTTAGAATTTAATCTGCTTATATTATACCAGATTTTACTTTCTTGATATAAATTGTTTTTTATCAGCATTGCCATGAACATAACAATATCACGAAAACCACAATTTTAATTTGTTTCGGAAAGTTTTATATTAGTGCTATATTGTTGAATTCATGTAAATATATGTATGAAGTGTGTATAGTTGTCAATGTATGAAAGTTAAAAGAGTTTGCTTCATCATTCAAAATGTATACACAGACATTCCAATATTAATTTGTCAAGTTCAAAATGTCGGAAGTCATAGAATGTTTGATTTTACAAAGTGTATCTGCTCAAAATACCTTTACTTTCTAATTTTTAAGCAAAATGATATGAATAAGATTCCAACAGATTTTGTTTTGATTAAACAGGTGTTCTGTATACACAGGTTATATTACAGCAGATTATTAAATAAATGTTCTACTATGTTCTCTTGCATATGAAATAACATTTTCTGTTTGTTTTTGCATATTTTGTGTATACTTGGTTAAAAGTGGTGATACACAATATTTTTTTTCAACTCTGTTACCATTGAAGAAGCAAAAAAATCTAAAGTGAAAATCTTTTGAGAGAAATTTACAATGAAGTTAATAGATGAAAGTCGTAAAAAATATTCAGTATTTTTATGAAATGGTTGATATAGATATTTTCATGTTGAAATCTTATTTGACTTCTGAATGTGATTTTTGTCTTTCTTGCGATGATAGAGAAGCAACACTTATATGAGTAATCCCTCTTCAGGTATCAACAATTGTTTAAAGTTAATGATTAAACAAGGAATTAATTGAATCTGGAATAATTTTGAATTCTGGAAAACTGATTAGAAATGTATGATGAAAACTAACCCAACTAAATGGGGTTAGCCATGCATGCATGGCTAAGGTTAATTTTACTTTCACTATCATTTCAGTATGAACTAACTAACACCCCTTAGCCATGCGTGCATGGCTAACCCTATTTAGTTGGGTTAGTTTTCATCATAAATTTCTGATCAATTTTCCAGAATTCAAAATTATTCCAGATTCAAATAATTCCTTGTTATTATGTTATTTTTACGAAGTTCAAACTCTGTACTAATTAAAAGATTTTTTTTTATTGTTAGCCTTACTGAAAGATTTTACTGTTGAGCAAAAACCAAGTTATTTTGATGAAATAGTAATTTGAAAAGTGTTCAGCACTGGATAAATGTCATCAAGCACAATCTTGTATTTCCTAAGTTCTAATATTTTCATTTGATAACAAGGAAAAATAATTTTGTAAATCTTTGTATACTAACTACATACATAATATACACAAGTGTTCTAAGAACACATATCTTCTTATAACATATTTATAGTGTTCTGTTCTGAAAAGATTGAGATTTGATTCAGAATTAAAATATTTGATGTATGTAAGTGTAATATATGTGTAAAATATCTTTCCTAGTAGATTTAGAAAGTTCATAGTTTACCTCAAATTCTAAGGCAATTTTTGCTCATGTGGAATAAGTGGAACATTGCAAACACTATCTTGTATATTGTGTCTGGACTTTGTTTTATATGTGAACTTCATATATGAATTCTGTAAGAATGCAGATTGAATAAAAAAATTATTTTGAGTTTCAGAATTTAATATACTGTATTGGATATTTCATAATAATATTCTGGTGCAAGAAATAGTTCTGTTCAGGTGCAAGAAAAAGTTCTGTTCAGGTGAAAGAAATTGTGTTTTTCAGGTGAAAAAAATGAATGATTTTTTGAGCAATTGTCTCATGAAATGCATATGAGCAAAAATTGCATGTAATTGTTTTGTGATAATACCATTATTCTATTAGTGAATCTAGGATTTAACTCTTTTAAATATATTGAATGCAGAACATTTGATGAATATTTCCGAAAAGATTTTTTCTAGTAGACAATCAATCAGTTTTAAATGAAAAGACTTTTCAATAAACAGAGAAGAGGGTATATGTCAGTGAGACTGCAAAACAAAAAATGGCACCTAGTCTGTAAGTATACCCTTCATTGAACTTAAAAAAAAACCAGCATTGTAAAATAAGTTGAGATGACTAAAACTAGATGAATTTCACAAATTAATATGAATTCAAGTGAACAATTATGTTTTTTACTGATAAATTGTTAAATTATGAATAAAATTGTTGGTCAAATGAAAATGAATGTTCTTCAGCCATAAATATCTAAGTTGAAACTGAAGACTGGTAATGATTTCACAATTCACTCTTCACATTAAAAAAGGCTTGTTTTTAAAGTTCAAAATATCTATCAGTTTTTGCCCCAAAAAGATTTGTATCCATAATAACATAGTTATTTCTTGTAACTATATAATTTATATTTTGTTGGTAAAATGGTTGCATTTGTGTTATTTGATGAATTTCCGATCTTTCATCGTGTCAAGGACTGTGAATACTGTGGATTCATTTATTCATTTATTTTCGTTGATTAATGAAAAATTCAATTTTCATGGATATATGATTTCATGGTTTGCTGAAATCTGCATACAAGCCAATATCAAATTTGTGTTTTGTTGAACATTTTAAACTTGTAGTTAACTTACACCCACGAAATCCACAAAAATTTGTTTCCATGATTAAACATGAATCCACTGTAATAAACTTTTTACAACCGAGAGACCAGAGGTTTGACATACAATAATCGAATGTTTTATTTTCAAATGTATCTCTTATATATATCAAAATGGACAGAAAGAAATGAAAAGTCTTTATTTCAACACGGTTAATCAAATTATAATCAAACTTATAATAAAACACTCCAAAAATCTGTGATAGCACCTCGGTCAAATGAAAGTAAATAAGTGTTAAAAGGGTTAAATCCTAGACAATTTATATACAAAGTGTAATATATTTATACAACTTTAACCATTCCAATGAATAAGATGCAAATGATTGTTTATATTATGATTCCTAATGATCTGTTTGTTAGAGTTATTATTGTTATGTCATCCTATACATGTTTTAATCATTTTGAATCATTTAATTTTTTATTCCATTTAACATCATTAAAAACTTCATTATAATTGTGTGTTATTTTTCATTTGTTGAGAAAAAAGATACTTGGGGAATATTGAGACAGCAATTCAGCAACAAGTATAATCAAAAGACATCTTGTATGCAACATTCAGTCTTTCACAATAGACATGTGTCTGTTATTGCATGGTTTAGCATTATAGTAAAAAAAAAAGTATTGTAGGGAGTTGATTGACATTTATGTATACATAATCAAGCTGTTCAATTTGTAAGAAATTAATCAAACTGCTCTAGGAGATCTGCAGTTTAATCATGAATGATAGTAGTGCAAGTAAGAGAAGAAATCCTACTTACAATTTAAGAAATAAGGTGATGTGGTTTAATTGCAAATGAGACAACTAGTATCAATAAAGACCAAAGGACAAAGATGAAATACAGGTGACCATAAGTCCTTCAACAAAGGGGGTTAGGGGTAAACATGTTTGTGAGCACTCAACCCTCCCTATATTAAAATGGGACGTAGGCTTAACAACACAATAAAACAATAAAAGACCTAATTCTAACGAGAGTTCGCACAACGAAAATATTTTGCCTGCTTTGCAGATCAAGTTTAAATTTTATATTGAGTCTTCAAGTCTTTGAATAAAGTTTCTACATCAAGTTTCATAGAAACTTTTAAAAAACATCATCAATGATCCATGAAATTAGGTTAAGTCCAGTGAACCCTGGCAGACAGTAAAGTACCCCTAGCAATCATTCCATATAACAAATATAGCTGACCTATTGCTTACAGTATCTGAGAAACAGATCTTTCCATAAAAAGTTTGACCAATGAACCACTATAATGAAAATGTACACCTTACAAGAATTGAACCTTACCAGGAAAACTTAATGTTGACTAATGAACCATGAAAATAAGTTCATGGTCAGGTAAACCCTACAAGATGGACATAGATGCCTTACCATCATTCCATACACCAAACACAGTTGACCTATTGCTAATTATATCTTGAAAATGAACATTACCGCAAAACTTAACATTGCTTCCAGTATTTTAGATACAGACTTGACCTGGAAAACCTATCCTTGATAACTGATCCATGAAATTAGGTCAAGTGAACCTGAAGAACTGCAATAATTCTATATACAAAATATAGCTGTCCTATCACTCCGAATTAATGACTTTTTTTTCAGCAGTCCCTGAATTATGAAATAAGGTCAAGGACAAAACAGAAATTTCATAACATGGAATCTATAAAAGATATGAAATATTCAGGTATGCTTCTGCCACCATATCAGCACCTCTATGTCTTGCATTCTCCAGCACTTGTCACAGGCTAGAAAAAATTCAAATAGAAAGGGCTGGACACATCAGATTGGTACTTAAAGCACAAAGGAGTTTATCCAAGAAGTCAATTACATTTTAGATCCACAGTCTACAACATTGACACATGAAGAGTAGCAATTTTCCAAGTTGCACAATGTGCAAAAATTACCTTCATTATTGGGATGTCAAGGGAAATATTGGTACTGTAACTATTTTATGTAATAACCTCCTCGTACAGTTTTCAGCCCAGATCCTTGAAACTTCACAGAACATTTATATCATAAAATTATATAAGGATTTTTTCCCCTTTTTCGCAGACTAAATTGCTAAGTTAGTCTTTTTCTCATAAAAATTTTCATAAGGCAGTACAAATTTTGAGTAATAAGCTCCTACAGTTTACAACCAAGGACCTTGTAATGTTACAGAAAGGTTGTGCATATATATATATTAAAGTTGTGCATGCGCTATTTTGGGATTTTCTTGAGGTTTTTTTACCCAATATTTCCAGATTTGGGAACTCGGTAATTTATCAGCAAAATGTTTAAAACAAGTTATTGTCTGCGTATCAAAATGTCTTCAGATGCAGACAACATCATAACATAATACTACTGCTTTGTGGTGGTATAATAAGCTAACAATAATGTTTAATCATCTCCTTCAGTTTTTAACCCAGATCCTGAAACTTCACAGAAATATTGTATACATACTGTGGATTCATTATAATTCGTGGGATACCTATTTTCGTTGATTTCATGGGTAAAGGTAAACCACGTATTAAGATGTTCAACGAAGTACCAATTATCTATAGGATTGTATTCAGACTTTTTTTTGGCTGATTTTATATGTTTTCTATACAAATGTTCATCTATTTTGAAAAATTCATTCATTTAAAATATTTCAGAAAATAGGTAAATGCATTATTTTTTTGAATTTTCAGTTAAAGTTCAACCAGCCAAAGTTGTATGCAATAGTTTACCAAAATCTGTGACATATCCCATTGACTGTACCATAAGATCTTGCATACAGACAATCTCATCCTTCCTAGCAGATCATGTTGGTATTTCTTTTCAATTCTTATGTTAACAAAAGGTTACAATCCGGTTTAATTTTGACGTATTTACAGGTGTAACATGCTACAGTGAACAAATGTCAAATTAATTGCATTTTGGGGTTCAATGGTTGCAAGCAACATACAATTTGTTTATAAGTGGGGGTTATATTGCAATCATCATGTCCGTCTATTCCTCCAACAAATATTTCTGTCACTCAGAAACTTCTAAACAGAATTGGCTCAGTAGCTTGACAGTGATGAGTTGCAGTATGTGAACATTTGGGATCTATCAAACAAAGACTTTCTGTTTGCTGATACTTTAAATTTTTAATTTTGTCGAATGAAAACAAATATTTTCATCACTTTTCACAGGAACTACAGAACAAAATGACTTCATATCTGGTCAGCAGTTTGACAGTGCCAATACTTTAAATTTTTCAATATGTTGAATGAACTTAATAGTTTTGTCAAACACTTCTCAATTCCTATTGAACAATCTGACTTCATATTTGGGCAGCAGCTTGAGTGATAAGTTTTAATGGGTGAGCATTTTTTTTTTTTATCAGTCAGAGTCAGATGCTTCTTCTTGTTTTCTGATCTGAAATAAATGGGGAATGTGTCCATGGGACACAGATGATGCCCCCACTTGCATATAACATTATAAAGGGACATAACTCTAGAACGGCAAAAGTGACGCTACCAAATTTCATACTTGATCTGAGTTTTGTGGTAATAAGCATTGTGTATAAGTTTCATAACATTTGATTGAGGCAAACTTAAGATAGAGAACTGAAACGAAAAATTAAGCAATTTTTCAATTTGTAAAGGGGCATAACTCTAGAACAGTGAAAGTGACGTCACCAAAATTCAAACTCGATCTGTGTTTTGTGGTAATAAGTATTGTGTATAAGATTCATAACATTTTGTTGAGGCAAACTAAAGTTAGAGAACGGAAACGAAAAATTCAACAATTTTTACATTTGAAAAGGTACATATCCCTAGAAAAGTAAAAGGGATGCCACCCAAATTCAAACTTGATCTGTGTTTTGTAGTAATAAGCATTATATTTAAGCTTCATAACATTTGGTTGAGGCAAACTAAAGTTAAATAACGGAAACCAATTTCGGGACTTACAAACAGACAAGGGTAAAACTTAATGCCCCTTCCACTACAGCGGGGGCATAAAAAGAGTAGGGATATGCTTTACATGACAACATTTGCAACTTCTTCTTCAGTATTATACTGGGTGAATGCTCTCAAACACTATAGGTCTTTAATGATTTTTAGTAGATGACTTCAAGATGAGAAATTCAAATTCCAAGATCCTCTACTTTTGGGAAGACTTTACTTTTTTGATTTTTATATGCTTAATTTCCAGTGGCGAATATTTCATGCATATTCAGAACAAGTAATTTACTTGACAATCCTTAGAAATCCACCCATTGTATAGCATACACTTACTATACTAGATCATCTTACCCATGATTGTAAGTATAAGCTGGATATATTCTATCCCTGGATAAGAAAACATTTATGTATGAACCAACAAACAACTTTATAATAAAAACATTTTATTTTAAAATACCAATATTTTTCTTTAATTCAAAAGTAAAATGGTCAGTATGTCCAGTGTTTATGGTGATAACATATATTACATATCACATTTTGAAAATTTGCATAAACTTAAATGACAAATGTAAGTAGACAGAATAGATATAATATAATAACACTCCATTAATATGTCCCTGAAACTGGTACCCATTATCCAATAACTTGCATGGTATACTGTTAATGGAAACCAGATTTTCCTATAATTTAGGACATTTGGGGAGGATCCTGTATGTTTGCAGATTATTTCTAGAACTGATACAAGTCTAAATACATATATGTGACAAAAGCTTGACAAAGTATGTATAATGCACACCCACAAATTAAATGTTATTTTTTTTAAATAAAATTGTTTTCTACCCAATCTAACCCTTTTTTTCTATCTGATCTGAATTAATGATATGGAAATATCAATGAGATAAACAACTAATTCATAAAAAATTAGCAGGTTAACAACATCTATTTCGCTTCCTGAAGTATGAAATACCTGATGAGGGTTTAAATTTTTGATTCACAAAAACGACATATCAAGCAACCTAGATTACCTTACTTTAAATAAACATATGATCTTTATATAGATGTACAAGATGTTATTTCATATGAACAAGAACATGCAAACCCTTTAAGTTTTATATATTGATCTAATTCAATATAAAAATAGTTGATTACTATTAAAAACATTACACAGTTGTCCCCCCTTTTCATAAGAAGCTTTTGTAAGCTTTGAATTATGTATACTCAATTAAACTATAGAATTAACCAAAAATATGTTATCAAACAAGTTTTCCTTGGTTTAATAAGTTGTAAAAGAGGTGATCCCTAAGGTTGAAGTTGTCTACAGGGATACAGTTTTTTTTGAAGATTTCATAGTGAAAAAACTTCATTCAAATTACATGTAAAATGTTCATACTGACTAGCATCTAAACATGGCTGGATGAATAAAATTGCATGTACAATATGACATCTGTATTCATGAATAATTATACAAAATTAAAAGCATGGAATTAATTGCATTAGTTGGTCCCACTGAATAGTTAACTAATTAATATAATATTAAATCAATTTACTGTGTTGAAGTCATACTACATGTTTCATGCTGGATGGGAACTTCATGAAGTTTCTGGAAGTTCTGTGAAAAATTCAGACTTATTAAACATTTAAATAATCCATAATAAATTAAGGATTTTAATATTGCCCCAAAAATAGTAGCTAATCATGTACATTTCAGTATAACTTATGAAAAATTCAATTGTAAGATTTTTTTTAAAAATTTAATTGTAATGTGTCGGTTAACATTTAATAAAATAAAATGTGTTCAAAATATTCCTTACAGTGATAACCAATAATATGCAATTCAAGCCTAAAATCTCACGTCACAAAGTCATATAAAAATATCTAGCAGAAGCCACAACAAGACATGAACACATTAAAAATTGTCAAAGATAGAAATGAGCAAACCTCAGTGGAATGTTTAAATAAGATGGACACTAAAAATATTGTGAAGTAAATTTAAATTGTATACATCTCCTTTCTTATAATGGTAAATGTATTCTATCAACTTCAGGTTCAACTAGTAACTGTGTCTAACAGATCTGGATTAGAGACAGGTTCAATTATTGATGCCAATAGGCTTATAAAGAGCAAAGACCAATATCTTAATTTGGGTAAGCTACCATGGACCAAAAACTAGGCCAACATACAAACCATAATGTTCCCAAAACTAGCTTAAACAGAAACCATATAACCATTTTAACAAACTAGAGGCTCTCAAGAGCCTGTGTCGCTCACCTGTATTTACTGATGCTTTGGAAATCATGTAAAATAAGGTTAAAATCATAATTAATAGTATTAGATATTAGATATTATAATGATATCTAAGATAATAACAAAAAACTGCAAAATTTTTGTAAAATTACCAACTCAGGGGCAGCAACCCAACAACAAGTTGTCGGATTCGTCTAAAAATTTTCAGGGCAGATAAATCTAAATCTGATGAACATTTTTGCCACCTGTCAGATTTGCTCTAAATGCTTTAGTTTCAGAGATATAAACCAAAAACTGCATTTTACCCCTATGTTCTATTTTCAACCAAGTCGGCCATGATGGTTGGAAGGCAGGGTCATCGGACAAATTTTTTAAACTAGATACCCTAATAATGATTATGGCCAAGTATGGTTAAATTTGTCTCAGTAGTTTCAGAGAAGAAGATTTTTGTAAAAGATTAAAAAAATTTACGAAAAATTGTTAAAAATTGACTGTAAAGGGCAATAACTCCTAAAGGGGTCGACTGACAATTTTGGTCATGACAACTTATTTGTAGATCTTACTTTGCTGAACATTATTGCTGTTTACAGTTTATCTCTATCTATAATAATATTCAAGATAATAACCAAAAACTGCAAAATTTCCTTAAAATTACCAATTCAGGGGCAGCAACCCAACAACAGGTTGTCAGATTTGTCTGAAAATTTCAGGGCAGATAGATCTTGACCTGATAATCAGTTTTACCCATGTCAAATTTACTCTAAATGCTTTGGTTTCAGAGATATAAACCAAAATCTACATTTTACCCCTATGTTCTATTTTTAGCCATGGTGGCCATCTTGGTTGGTTGGCGGGTTCATCGGACACATTTTTTAAACCCTAATGATGATTGTGGCCAAGTTTTGTTAAATTTGGCCTAGTGGTTTCAGAGGAGAAGATTTTTGTAAAAAGCTAATGACGACGACAACGACGACGACGACGGACGACAGACGCCAAGTGATGAGAAAAGCTCACTTGGCCCTTTGGCCAGGTGAGCTAAAAAGTGCTATTGAAATCATATGATGGATAAACAAACAGCAAAATCAAAACCTGTAACTGCTTTTGTCACCTAAATTTTAACTGCTCTACTAAAACTAATTACAGGTCAGGTAATAAAACAAGCAATTTTGTGTTAAGCAATTGGAAAAAGCTGTTTAATAACAAAATATTTGTTGTAATTTTCAAATTGGGTAGGGGCATTAAGATCGCTTTTTAGGCTGTAATCTTTAAACCATTTGAATTGACTTATAATGACTCGTCATTCAAAAAGTATTGGAAAACAGGAATTAAGTGTTTGACAAATCTTTTAAATTCACTAATTTCACAACTCATCCCTATTGAGCTGCTGACCAAATATTGAGTCATTCTGTTTAGTTGTTTCTGACAAAAATGTGAAGAAAAATATTTCTTGGACAAATGGATGGTCAGACAATATGATTGCAATGTAATAATATGCCACTGGCATATATATGAAAGGTTACAATGTTACTTGCTGTCTATTTATATAGAATAAGAATGAAACTAATCTAAAGCTATGCAAAGAAGGAGATGTGGGATGATTGTCAATGAGACAACTATCTACTAGAACCAGAAACCAAATGTATGTAAACAACTATAGGTCACCTGTGACTATAAGTCATCTGTTTTGACTGCTTATATCCATCACATATATTTTATCAAATGCACAGCTTTCATTTTGTGTTACCAAGGTGATATTTTTATATTGTAGTGAGACTATGGTGATATTTTTATATTGTGGTGAGACTATCTACCAAATTTAGCCCAACAATGCAGTACTTAAGGTGGTACCAAACACCTTGACTAAAATTAATTTGGCTTGTTTAATTTTCTTAAAATTTTGACAAAATATTAACTTTGACCCTTTGACAAAAATATAAAAATTTAAAAATCTTGAACCAGACATTTTATCGGAAAAATTTCATTGGATATATAGCAGTTTGACAAACACTAATTTTGATCATTGAGAAGCTTAATATTTCCTCAACAATATAACGTGATTAAAACCTTCAGCTGATTTTTACAGAGTTATCTCCCTGTAGTGTTATGTACCACCTTAATTATCGTAAAACAGATTCTTCCTCACTGAGGTAATAAATAAGAAAGAATAATTTTAGGTAACATGAACTATATATATACACAAAGATTTATAACATCATTGCTCTAATATTAAATTTAACATCTATACAAACAAGAAGAAGAATCTGAATTGTTTGATTGTCAAACGAAAAACCAGGTCATGGATTATCAACTTGAACACAAATTACGATTATTATGCCACACAATAGCTGAAATATATAAGAGTTTTGGTTCTGCAAATTTCAATTACTGGACAAGAGTTCCATATGACACCCCACCTTACAAAAAACACAATTACACCTTACATTTTATACACATTATCACTTTTAGTCCAATCTAGGAAAAACAGTCACTTAGACAAATTAATTTTTATTTCAAGTGTTGCAAAAACAAAGTTCATCAGTAATGAGCTGAGGGAGGGAAAGGTTTAACTAGAGGCTCTAAAGAGCCTGTGTCGCTCACCTTGGTATATGTGCATATTAAACAAAGGACACAGATGGATTCTGACATGACAAAATTGTGTTTTGGTGATGGTGATGTGTTTGTAGATCTTACTTTACTGAACATTCTTGCTGCTTACAATTATCTCTATCTATAATGAACTTGGCCCAGTAGTTACAGTGGAAATATTTTGTAAAAATTTACACAAATTTACAAAATTTATGAAAATTGTAAAAAATTGACTATAAAGGGCAATAACTCCTTAAGGGGTCAATTGACAATTTTGGTCATGTTGACTTATTTGTAGATCTTACTTTGCTGTACATTATTGCTGTTTACAGTTTATCTCTATCTATAATAATATTCAAGATAATAACCAAAAGCTGCAAAATTTTCTTAAAATTACCAATTCAGGGGCAGCAACCCAACAACGTGTTGCCTGATTGGTCTGAAAATTTCAGGGCAGATAGATCTTGACCTGATAAACAATTTTACCCCATGGCAGATTTGCTCTAAATGCTTTGGTTTCAGAGATATGAGCCAAAAACTGCATTTTACCCTATGTACTATTTTTTAGCCATGTCGGCCATCTTGGTTCGCGGGCGGGGTCATCGGACACATTTTTTAAACTAGATACCCTAATAATGATTGTGGACAACTTTGGTTAAATTTGTCTTAGAAGTTTCAGAGGAGAAGATTTTTGTAAAAGATTACAAAAATTTACGAAAAATGGTTAAAAATTGACTGTAAAGGGCAATAACTCCTTAAGGGGTCAACTGACCATTTTGGTCAAGTGGACTTAATTGTAGATCTTACTTTGCTGAACATTATTGCTGTCTACAGTTTATCTCTATCTATAATAATATTCAAGATAATAACCAAAAACGGCAAAATTACCTTAAAATTACCAATTCAGGGGCAGCAACCCAACAACAGGTTGTCAGATTCATCTGAAAATTTCAGGGCAGATAGATCTGGACCTAATGAACAATTTTATCCCGTCAGATTTGCTCTAAATGCTTTTGGTTTCAGAGATATAAGCCAAAATCTACATTTTACCCCTATGTTCTATTTTTAGCCATGGCGGCCATCTTGGTTGGTTGGCTGGGTCAACGGACACATTTTTTAAACTAGATACCCCAATGATGATTGTGGCCAAGTTTGGTTTAATTTGGCCAAGTAGTTTCAGAGGAGAAGATTTTTGTAAAAGTTAACGACGACGGACAACGACGGACGCCAAGTGATGAGAAAAGCTCACTTGGCCCTTTGGGCCAGGTGAGCTAAAAAGTGAACATTTTGAAATTTTGATTGTTTATGATCCAATTTTTTGAAACATAAATTAAAGTTATAAAAATGCTTTGTTTGAAGTGTTTAAAATGATATAAACGTGTCTCTTTGAAAAGTTTTAAGCACGATGCATTGTTTAAACAGGGCCCCAGATAGCTTTAGATGGTTTGTGATGTAAAGAAAAAGTTGTGCAATTTAAGAACTTATCTGGATTGGAATAAATAGCGATAAGGTGTATTCCAAGGGGTTGCCATACAGAATTTTTCTAATTACTGTTAACAAAATTACATATCATTTTATTACTATTTCCATTTTACTTCTTGTATCAATCATTCTTCAAAGAGATTAAATTTCGAGCAAATTTTGCATAGTGAACAAAAGATAGAAATGATAAATATATAAAAGGATCAGAGCTTTTATAGTTGTTCCTCATCTTAATTACCTATAATTATTTCATTGGTAAATTTTCTTTCTATACTTATAATTCTATAATGGGACTTTTGATTTAGCATTACACAACTGTTTCAATGCTGAATTGTAATTTAACGATCGGAACAAATGGATTTTTTTTACTTGTAAAGTTTAATATTTGTAGAGACAGCATAAAATGGATATCTACATACTTGTAATTCAAATATTCATGACTTCTTTAAAAGACTATCATAGAATTATAAATGCATATCTTTTCTTCAGAGGAAATCTTTAAGTGAAGTTATTTTTTTTTAACACATATAAATGACGTATTAATGTATAATATTGTTTACAAATATAGGCGGGATTTTTTTTTACATTAAAATGGATAAGATACACAATCACACTGCTATAGAATTTAAAAACAAAAATTGTGTGAATAATTCAAATGAAACTAAAAATATTACCTGTCATAATCTTTCACACTCTCACAATAAATACAAATTTTGCATTATAACATATAAATATATCTTTCATTTAACAAATATATACAGCAAGTCTTTAAGTTCATAACAACACACACGTACACACAACTATAGCACTATATGAAATATGTAAGCTATGTTTCTATTGGTTAAATATATGAAACTGATCATATGATACCTGTACAGGGAACATTTGGTTAATCACATGATAAATCACATGATACAAAAATAAATTAAATAAAATGATAAAATAATCACAAATCCCAAATCACTGGTTTGAAAATATTAAAGAACATTAAATATGCACACAAAACACAATTGAATGGCTGGATTCCTGATATGATTTGCATAACAAAATATGTCTACAATTCTTCTTGTCTTAGTATATTCCTCTGCTCTTGGAGCACCCGTGTTACAGGGTCATACAAACCCTTAATTATTTTAAAGCAGAATAATCTACTCTGCCTAATTTTTTGGTTTTTTAACTCTTTCTTTCACTTTTCATTCTTGTACTTCAAAACTTACATTTATATTGTGAAAACTGAAAATGTAAGCTTTATTCATTAAACGTGAATTTTCAAATATCAAGTAAATCTGATGTTATTTTCATTTTCATAGCATACTATCATTGGACAATAATCGTCATAATAAATATAAAATGGTGTAAGTGTAAAAGAATTGAACAGATTACGGTTAAAAGTTAGATTTTGTCTACATTCAAAAGTGTATAAAATTACAGAAAATTATTGCTTCCCTTAGTAGTGAAAACAGAGTAATTGTTGATGAATATCCAATGCCAAATATTTCATAAATATTCAAGACAAGACGATAGTAAAATGAGATGTTATATATAATCTAACTTATTCTAAATGCTAAAAGAATTGTTAATACCTCAATTACATATTGTCAAAATAATTATTAAACTTAAGCATAAAATCAGTAAAGTCAATAACTTTAATTTGTATGCATAAAATGAATAAATATGATATTAAGTTTAGTTTGTAAGCATTAAAGGAATAAAGACAATTAGTTAATGTTGGTATCTTAAATGTTTTGATTTCAGATTCATTTTGTATTATGCTGCTTATAATTATGACTGTGGTAATTCCTTTCACTTCTAACAAAACATTGAGTGTTGTAAGAATGAATGAATGAATGCCCAAAACATCCAATAACAAATTTTTTATACTACTGCAAATATTTTACCTAAAAACAAAATTTTAATTTTTCTAAAGCAATTTTTTTATAAGCACAAATACACTTTACTGAACAGATTGTTTATACTGTAGACACATACATTTGTTTAATTCATTAAGCCTTTATTAATTACTATTATCATTCACCCTTAAGAATATTTATAAATTGTCTAAGCTTGAAAAAATAATTCCCTTTCCACTTCTTATTTTGAAAAAAGAAATCTCTCACGGAAGGGCTAAATTGTAGTGATATTTCCCTCTTTTAGTTAAAGATAATTTTAAACATTTTCATAATCTGATATACACAGTTATAAAAATTCATAAACTTGAAAACCTTATATCACAACTTTTGGTTGATTGTTTACAGCTATAAAAATTTCTAGCAAAATCCAACATATACAAAAGATAACTTTGTACATTTTTAATTCATAAAACTATTTCACAACTGAACAAACTAAATCACAATTAAATTAAACTTTTAACGATATTCACAACAGCACACGCTTAAAGCATCTCTTCCATACATTTTTTTATCACTTTATATTCGACATATAATGCATTTCTTAATAGTATACATCTTTCACGATTTAACACAATGATTCAGGCTGAACAACTTTAAGAAATCATGAAATCACAATGGTTGAAAATAAATGTACAAAATAAACAAAAAGAAACTGAAAGACATGGCATCAATGGATTTGTGTGAAGTAATCACATTTCTGTATGTTCATAACCAGAATTGACGTGAGACTTTCCATTTCTAAATGTCACATCACCGTTCCTCTGTCTTGCGTTCACATTATTAGTGTCAATGATGTTGTTGGTTATCCCATTAATATCAGTGGTATCTTTGTCAATTGTGTCTGGACTAGTACTACAACTTGGCACATTTCCATCCTTTTCATTCTGAGATCTCTCTTCCATTTCTTTCAAGTGCATCATCTCTTGTTCTTTTTCCCACAATTGAGCACGGACAATTTCATCTGGATTTATTGTTCGATGTAAAACTCTTACTACAAATCTGTTAAAGACAAATTAATTTAATCGGCCATTAAAACATGAACTTAAAATGAAAAAGTAGCAAGAACTCTGTTTAATGTATGTTCTGTACAGTGGGACATTTTTGTGCTGGCTTTATTTTCGATAATTTCATGATTAAATTAAAATTGTGAAAATATATCCTCTCGTTAAATTAACCTTTAAGGAATATTAAATTTAAAGACAACAAAAACGCAAAATAAAACCTCAAGAACAGGTTTGCCCTTTGAAATTGCAAAAAATTTAAACTCCACGAAATAAACCCATTTTACAGTATTAATCACTACTTTTCTGTCAGTCAGGCCTTAAACGTTAATTTTATTTCTTATCAACTTTCTTTAATGTAATTACATTTAATTCAAGAAAAATAAATCTAACTAATATAGATTACTACTTTTCAAAAGAAAGAAAGAATTTTCACTTGTCCAAATATCTTGTTTCCAATATTTAAACATGGTTTTCTAAATCTAAAGGGCATAGTTCCTGTGTAACCTGTGAAAAAGAACTAAATAGTTTTTTTCATATCAAATATACTATTTAAACTCAATCAGGATCTGGCACGATTCTCAAATAATTGTGTAGAAAATGAGAAATTGTAAATCTTAATCATTGTAAACTATCAACAAAGAACTTCTTAAAGTATCCTTTACTTTATGGATCTCTTTCGAACAAAATCTGAACCGGTAATTAGGAAATAATCACATCATTACCGAGTCTTGATAACAGAAAACTATGTTTATACTATTTCTGTCTTCACATAAAAGAGCTACTTACCTTGGTAAAAGACATGTCAATAAAGTCAAGACAACAGTGATAAAATGGATGGGTTGTGTCATTGTGTTCTGCATTACCCAGTATGGATTAGACGGATGATCAAATGAAAACCAGATGGCATTGATGACGATAGCAAATAACCAGTATACCAAGAAACTTAATATAGTGATTAACCACTGAGGCCAAATCTGAAATAAAACAATCGTTGGATTCTATATAAACTTCTGAGAAATATCTGATATTTATAATTTTTCAAGTATTCATTTAAAAAAAATTTAACTTGACTAATATAATGTACAAAAACTTTACTCTAAGTTTATTTTTATCTAATTATATTCACTGATTGCTGGTTTTTTTTATAATGTATACAAAAAAAAAAAAAATTCTATTATAACCCATAATTCTTTGGTCAATGGTTAATTGCTCTTTGCTCTTTACAAGAACTAAAAGCATTCAATTCTTATAATTACATTTTTATGCTACAACCATGAAATTACGAGTTTTATTAAATATTTTGTTGATTTTCCTATGCATTGTTGTGGCGTTTTCACCGGAAGAACCTGCTGTCCTGATTGTAGGATTTTATTGGGAAATAAAATCTAATTTTCGAATGCCTCTCTAATATTGTCATGATTGTCAGCCAATCAAAAGTATGGATTCTTATATAACATACAGTCATGTAATGTAATCATATTTGATTAAAATTCAAACAAGTACTTACCCATGAGAAAGTTTCCACAGCATTATGGAATAATATGATTAATATAAGTCCTACAGTAGTAGTGGTACCAAACTCCCACACACCTGCTACAGAATCTGTATACACCTGTAAACATGTACACAATCATGTTAACATGTATTTCATATAGCATGTACAGAGTTTAAATAGAATTTAAAATATCAATAATGAACACACATTGTACACATCTCAATACAATCAAATAGATTGAAGTTTCGGAGTAGTAAACCCTTGAAGTTTTGATAATCAAATTGCATTATGGTCTCTACGTTTTGAAATATTTTCAAATTCACAGAAATATCATTATCTTTCTTACATCTGTCTTATGATTAACTTTGGCATTTCACAAAATTTAATGCTAAGAGATCTGCCAGCATAATATATAAAGATATGACAAAACATAAACATCACAGTTCTTATGGTGTGGAAAGCTTAGCACATCTTGTAATACAATTAATACTTACCAAATAATTCAAATAAAATAAAATTGCACTTTGGTACAAAGAATCAAAAGCTGCCACAAAGAAAGATTTTCTCGTATACATCTGTAAAAGAGAAAATTTATACTTTTAAAACATGTATAAACAAATAATTATATGGCATTTTATGTTGGCCATTACAACAATTCTGATGTTATGATTGAGGACTTGTGATAGATCAATATCGGAAATTATGTGTAATCATTTTATCAATACAGATATTCAAATGTACATGTACCTACATGTATATACTGTTTAGTTTCTCTAATATGAAACTACATGTATTCTTGAAATTCTAAAGTTATAGAGTTTGCCCCTATCAACCTAGTGGTCATAATTAGTTTTGTTTAATTGTGTACTTCAACCATACAAAACGTACGTGTCAATAACAAATATAAGATCACTGCATCAAATAATTTTTTTAATTCCATCTGATTTCTGTTAATATAATAAATATATATTAATATAACACTGATACATCTAAAAAAAAAAAATGCTGGTCAATCAGACATAACTTTGTGAAAAAGAAAAACATAAATGAAATTTTCATGAAAGGTTAGAAAATGGGATTGCCGTTTCTCGTATTCTTTGGCAATTTAACTGTTTCCAGACCCATTTTATAAAAAAATTTAATCAACGTGTGGTTGTCGATGATCTCAGAAGATGATTGGATGAGTTTAAGGGTCATAACCTTTATTAGCTCACTGGATGTATCAAAATGTGCTAACAGGTGTTAATGAAATTGACAACTTTGTGTAATGTGGAAGGCACTCAAAGGGGATTTTTCGTTTACCAAAAATGAAAAAGTATTTGATAATCATTAGACAAACAGATTCTTACATAGTTACTTGTGGATTATTGTATTTATCGAATCTCAATAGTTAAATTATCAATTTTAAAGTCCTCGCCAAGGCTCAGACTTTAAAATTCGATAATTTAACTATCTCAATTGGATAAATACAATAATCCACTGGTACCAATGTACGAATCTATATTTATACACTTGAGGTCCCTCGGTGTAAATGACGTCATCAAACAATCGGTTCTTACTGTCACGTGTGATGTAATAACAGAAGCATTGTGACACAGGAAATGTATGGGAAAGTGCACGAATTTGAAATTTGTCTATAACTTAGTATAAGCCTTGTCAAATTACAACTTACTTGATCCTCTGGACCCATTCTATAAATAGTAGGAAATCGCAGCAGTGTTTCAGCAGATAAATCACGATCTAATATTCCATTGATAATTGGAGGTAATGATGTATATAACACATGCTGGAACATTAGATGTATACTGTCAAACTGTACTGCACCTGACCAACCAGCATATATCTGGTACCAAAATATGCAGAACACTGTCACCTGAAAATGAAAGTAGAAAATGTCACTACAAGTGCACTGAACAAATCCAGCCCACAGGACACGATTACATAAGAGATGACTGAAAGACTGAAAACAAAGCAATAATATTCAATGTTATAAATCATACTAATCAAACTTACCAAGCTTTTATAAAACATAAACGCAGAGAATCTTGATAGTCTAGTGTAGCACCAATGACCATGGACCAATAATAACTTCTGAAGGAAACAAAATCTTGATATTGCAAAGTCTGATGCCATGACAGCCTGCATTCCTTCCTGTCCTGATATACCCACTCCTACATCTGCTGTCTGTATCATACTAACATCATTAGCTCCGTCACCTGGAATGTAGCAGTAATTAACAAGAGAACATGACAACAATGGTAGCTGAAATTTCTTTAGCCCTTTATCTTTAGAATATTTGAAAGAAAATTATTCACAAAATTTGAAAGATGAAGTTGCACACATTATAAGATTTTGACGAAATACTTATTGCTAAGTTGGTATAATAATAATACAAAGTATTGTCAGAAAGGAAGTGACTAACTGATAGATCTGAACATTTCTTACACAGTGCAACTCAACATTATAAAAGTTCCCAATCAAATATCAAATCCTTCTTTCATGCAGAAGATGAGTAATATGTCACAAAAGTTAGGCTGTATGGAAGCATGGACATAATGCACAGTACAAGTTTAAATAAAAGAACAGAGTTCCAATGTCCCCCACCTTGCACATATCTTATCTATCCATGGGCAATAACTAAAGAAAACTTCTTTTTTTGTTGTTCTTTAAAACTTTTTACAAATATCTTAGAGAAATGAAGACTTGAGAGCAAATACAATGCAATTTCCAATATAAATAATATTTCCAAGGGGCATAACTCTTTTAAAAATATCTGACCTGCACTAATTTTCGAACTTGTCCAAGACATTGCTGATATACATTTCAATAAAAATCTGAAAAGAATTGTTCACATGAGAGCCCTTACACTGCAATTTACCATATAATTAATATTTCCAAGGGGGCATAACTCTTTTAAAAATAATTGATCAGCACTGGTTTTCATATTTGTTTGAGATATTGCTGATATAAACCTATGATATAAGTTTCATAAAAATCTGGCAAGAATTGTACACGTAAGGGCGTTAACAAGACTGGACCCACAGACAGGACGTCCGTTATTTCTATGTCTCCCACAACGTGTCACGTGGGGGACAATTCAACAATATTATCTGTATTTATTCATATCAAATAAGGTACATAATACTATTTCAAACCAGAAATCTACTTGAAATCATTTCTACATTTAAACCTGCCTATTCAGGTAATATTTATTGTAATCTAGAGGTTTTATGCATACCAACCCTAAGCTTTAAAGTGAAATATATACTATTTCTTATCTTACCAATTGCTAATGACAGTTTCTTCAGATTGTCCATTATCAACTTGACAACTAATCCTTTCTGTATAGGTGTGGCCCTACAGCAGACAACAGATTTACACATCTGTGTCAACCTCAGAAACTTTTTCTCAAGTGATTTCTCCAAACAAAAAGCAAGTGTTTTACCATCTACCACTAAAGCATATTCAATTTTCTGATTGACACTTCTAAGAGATTTTGTAGACCCCATTCTCCTTCTTGCACTAGAGGGTCTTGGTTTTTTTTTGTCTTTTTCTATCTCGCCTAATTCATGGTCTAAAAATGCTTCGGTTTCCTCCTGTAAAAGAAAATTATGTATTTAAAAAAGTACTTATTACAACTCTACTAATTTCAAATATCTAAAGTAACATTGAAAGTAAATATGAGAAAACAATGTGACAAGTTGTTTGTGTAATTGTACACTAATCACTGGACATACTGTTCACAAAAATATTTTTGTGAGCATTTTCTTCATGGCACAATTAGAAACAAAATGTGAATAAGTATGAATTAATAGAGATAAGGGTTATACATCAGTATTAAAGACAGCAACCTTACTATAAAAATAACTAAAAGACATTTAGAGTGCAACATACAATAGACAGCAATAGACAATTGTTTTATCAATATGTCAATCTCATCATTGAACCGAGTCTATAAAATTTGTGAATAAATTAAACAGAAAAACAAAGATATGTCATTAAGATCAATTCTACAAATACTGTTAATTCAGAAATTATTGCATGCATTTATTATTGCGAACTTTTTAGAATGAACTAAAATGCAAGATTAATTATTGCAATTTCAGGAAAATCTGCATACAGTTATATGTTTCAGATATAAGAATGCTAGTTCTTATAAATTGCAATACTCAATCAGTCACATTATTAGCATTAATATTAGCCTCGCAATAATTTATGAATTTACAGTAACAAAAACATTAAGATATGACATATGACAAGTACTGAGCAGGTTCCTGATGGGACAGACAGATGAATATGTGGAGGGTTACTTTTTATAAGATCTCAAACATTTTCCTTAAATTTTCTTTGATAAGACTAGATCATTATGGTTAGAACATTGTGAAAATAAATCCAAACAAAATCGTAAAGAAATGGCTAAACATCAAAATTTATCTGTGAAAAAAAAGTTGGTTTACAGTCTAGTCACATAAAGAGAATCAACACCATTCCATTCTAAGAATTTATCACATGTAGGATGTTTTATATTTTTCTCAGGCATTTGCTTTAATATACATTCATTAAAAATAAATATTTTTAAAGACATGCACTAAAGAAGAGTTCAAATACTTAAATTTCTAACTTTGAAACCATATCTGCAAACTTAATATTTTTCTAAAACTGAAATGCAGATATTGGGCAAACACAAATGAAACAGCCTCCGAATATATAAGAAAATAAAAAATAAACACATAGAGGTGGCCTGTTTTCAATGCAGGTAAGTTTTTGTATATAAATACATATGAAACTCATGACTAAATCAATCTGTTTGCATGTTAGCAATATACCATTTATATAATAAGTCCAATATAAAATAATTACCCTATCGTTAGCATTTAATTTAATCATCAGCTGATCCTCATCAAAAAGCTGTGATGAATGAGCTATTTCTATTGCTGTTTCCTGAAACAAAATCAACAAATTATTTCTGGTTTTACTCTAAAATCTCATTATACAGGGTCTATTGAAGACATTTCAATAAGGAGAGAAACTTAAATATTTTTTAGATATATAAGAAATATTTCAAACTTAAAGAATATAAGCAGACGTGGAGCAAACCTTAATGAGACAGCAATCAAACAACACAAAATAAATAAAAGACATCTTGTCCAAATTGCACATTATAAGATTTCTCTTTGCGCAGAAATATGAGAGAAGTGAGAACATATTAGTAATTGTCTGTGATTCCTCACTAGACATTTACCGTAAAACATTAAAACACAATCCAAACGAAAGACATAACTGGCTGGTTTTCACATACCCCAAAAAATATATCGAAATTTTTTATCTGATGGTATGAAGTCATTATATAACTACAAACTGAACTTCATTTGAATGTTACTGAAAAGTTACAAATGGAGACAAATAGTGAAAAAAAACATTGTGCAATATTAGCAGACCTATTTTAAATGTCAGGAATATATATATATTTGCTTTCATTTAATATTTACCAATGGTCAGTAGTTGCTAACACTAACCTGTTTATCTCCTGTTAAAACCCAGACGTTAATTCCTGCTTCCCTGAGCTTTTTTATTGTCTCTGGTACCCCATCTTGTAGCTTGTCTTCTATACCAGTTGCACCTATAATGTAAATAATTCAATTTATCTAAGCATGTCCTTTACTTCACACACTGTTCATATTCCAAGCTACTTAACTAATACTATTAGAAGGCGAATGCCAATTACAAAACTTATCAGATGTGATATGATTGCCGATGAGACAACTACCCACCAAGTTCATCTTACTTTCACATTGCTTTAACTATTGTGTCCAGCTCATGCCAGTTGTTTCACATAGTCTCTCATATTTTTCAGATCTTTTTCTCCTATGGTGTTTTTTAAAAGATATAACTATCCTTTCCTTACAAATGACTTGCATTTTCACTGCAAGATAAACATTCTCAGAATTCAAAATCTTTTTTTTTATATCAAATGCTATTTACATCATTGCTGTTCCATATTTTGCAAGTATAGCTGATTCTCAATGAGGAAACTTCCTTTCTTTCAAAATAACTTCAATTTTTTTATTTGATCAATACTGAACCTTACACAAAGACAAGCATACCTAATAATTCAAAATCTTTCTCTATATCACAGGCTACTTCCATAATTTTCTCTTCCCGATCTTGCATTGCTGCTTCTGCTTCTATGAACTTTTTCTTCCAGCGTTTATATTCCTTTTTATGCAATATCTATAAACAATAAAGTGTAATGTAAAGTGGGAAATTTCGGAGAGGTCTATTTTCGCATGTTTTGTGATAAAGATCAAAATCACAAATAAATCCCCTTGTATAAATTTAATTTTTAGGAATATCAAAATCAAACACAAGAAAAATTTAAATATAACACCTCACAAAATTGTTTGGCCTTTGAAAATCAAGAAATTTAAATTCTGTGAAAATAAACCTTTCTACTGTATCAAAAACACTTAGTTTTGTAACATGTAGAATGATGGTTTAAATTCTTTCAATCAGAAAGAAATGAGAATTTTGAAATGCCTTTCATGTCAGAAATCAAAACTTTTTTGTTTTGTTTGTTTTGTATTGATATAAATACTCTGTACATTTTTACAAACTCATTTCAATAAATCATATCAACATTTGAACCTGATCACAGAAAACAAAACCGTGATTTTTAATCGACAGTTAAATTGCAACTACAATCCAACATATGTAAAATTTACAGAATGGCAAAGACTTAAAGGGGACATTAGCTATGATTTACACAAAAATTTAAAATACAATTCTTTTTGTCTCAAGTATTAATAAATAAATGGGGAATGTGTCCATGGGACACAGATGATGCCCCCGCTTGCTTTTCATATAAAGTTATAAAGGGACATAACTGAAGAACGGTAAAAGTGACACTACCCAAATTTGTACTTGATCTGAGTTTTGTGGTAATAAGTATTGTGTATAATAAATTTCATAACAATTGGTTGAGGCAAACTTAAGTTAGAGAACGGAAATGAAAAATTCAACAATTTTTTCATTTGTAAAGGGGCATAACTCTAGAACGGTTAAAGTGACACCACCAAAATTCAAACTTGATCTGTGTTTTGTGGTAATAAGCATTGTGTATAAGTTTCATAACATTTAGTTGAGGCAAACTTAAGTTAGAGAACTGAAACCAACTTTGGGACGTACGGACAGACAAGCGTAAAACTTAATGCCCCTCTGCTACGGCGGGGACATAAAAAGGAATTTTGAAATAATATTTTTGTGATTAGCAGTTAGTTTGGCCCAAATTTGTCAAAAATCATTCTTAAACAGGTAAAAATGATAATTAATATATTTTTTTAACCTATAATATGAAATTAAACAGACCTAGAAAAATCAATTAGAACATGTTCGTTATCTATTGATATGTTTATTATGTTTATATCGTGTAAGATGACCGACGGCAGTCTTTGAGGTCATCTGGATGGTTAATTAGAAGGTGTCTAGACTAAAATACAAACAACATGCTAATAAATATTATCAAGTCCATGCATTGTTAATTGTTTGCTTTAGACTTTTTGTAATTTGAATTAAGTTTTAGTATGTTATAAATCAAATATGAGAATTTGAGTCAAATTGGTGAACATGAATTTGACAGCTTAAGCTCCTTTAAAAATCAAAACTACCATAAAATATTTCACATCATAACATTGCTATTCTTTTAATAGGTTTCCATTGTTTACCACCAAAAATTAATAGAATTCATTTATATTAACTGAGGATCTAAGGACATGTGTTAGTTCAGTAATTGGTCTAAGAACTTAAAAACTTGAAATTGAACATTTACCTTTTATGGTCCAATATCCAAATTTAAATACATGGTTCGATTCAGCATATCAAAGAACCCCAAGTATTCAATTTTTGTTGAAATCAAACAAAGTTAAGTTTTGGACCCTTTGGATCTTAATGTAGACCAATTTAAAAACTGGGCTAAAAAACAAAAATTCTAAATACACGGTTAGATTCAGCATATTAAAGAATCTTAGGAATTCAAGTCTTTGAATTATACCCCATTGAAACTGGTCAAGAAATAAGCAATTCATACATTGTATGTTATTTCTCTCAAAATTAATGACAAAAGCAGCAACTTTAATAAAATTTGATTATTTTGGGGATATTTCTGAAGTACAGCTGCAATACATATAAGGAATTCAAAAGTTATGTGAGGAAAACAAAAGTAAATTCTTTAGCACTGCTTTTGTCATTTTCAAAGGGTATGCAGATAATTTCTTCATCTAAAATATACCTTGTCTTTAGTTTTACTTAATAATGATCTTTTATGGAATAATATTATGTGTATGTTTATCAAATGATTGACAAACTTATCTTTGAAAATTTGCTATTTAAATTTCCTAAGTATTGATTAATGAATGGCACCATGAAAATATAAAAAAATAAATGGCGAATGTGTCCATGGGACACAGATGATGCCCCTGATTGTATATAACGTTATAAAGGGACACAACTCAATAACAGAAAAAGTGATGCAACCCAAATTCCAAACTCTGTAGAATAGTCAAAGCAACACTCTTCAGTTTATAAATATAAATTCAGAATTGTTTGCAATGGTTTAATTATTGCAGTTATTGCAGAAACTGCTAAAGGATAGGTTTGTAAAAATAAAAACTCACATTTATAAAATTTTGATAGCATTATCTGAATGAATGTTTTCTTGAAATTTGCAATAATTAATCTCGCATCTTTATTCAAAGATCACGATAAAAATGCATGCAAACTTTTAAAAATTTACTGCATATCAGATTTCCAGTGTGTTAATCAGGGAAGATAAATATATAATGTTAGTATAAACACTCTCTATGGTATTGATTGGAGACTGTCAAACATTCTAATCAAACAAAATGTAAACAAACTACAAACTAATCTAACTCACTCTTTTAGCCATACATAATGTACGCAAGCCTTGTAAAGCATAGTTATATAAGTGATCTTCAGTGTCCTCTACAATCTTTTTATACTCCTCGTTTTCTACAAATGGAGGGAAAAATATTGCAAAAGCAAATTAAAGACTTACTCTTTTAGCCAGGACTAAGGTACGTAGTCCTTGAACGGCATAGTTATATATGTGTGTTTCTGTCTCTTCCAGAACCTTCTTATATGGTTCTATTTCTATAAACATATCGAGGTGTTAAACAAAGGTAAAAAAAAGAATATAAATATTATAAATATTAACAGAACTCTTCAAAGTTCATAGGTTAATTTTCTTTCCCACTCTTTATGCAAATTGTTTACAGAGTAACAAAATGTCTTTCTTTGACATAGAATGAAAAAAATACTTTTTGAAATTCAAATGTTGTTTGTATGAAAGTCAAATGAATAGTCTCCGACCATTTGAAAGTGTATGTGGAGTATTATGACTTCGCATAATTTTAAAAAAACAGGCATAATGATAAGTTTTGAAAAATCTTTTCAAAATTTATCAGAAAATTTTGTATAAAATTCAAATAATTATAACTAATGACAATCAATTTTGCTATTTATGTAATCACAACTATTTAATTTAAAGCACGAACCATGCAAGTCTAAGATAAATCTCTTATTGTAAAATAAAATTAAGAATCAGTGACAAGGTATAGTTTTTAACCTTTAAACTTTTCCAAAAGTAAACAAAAAATTCACAATTTATATTATTATAATTCATGATTCTTTTTTCTCAAAAAAAATAAATAAAAAACAACTTTCTCTTTCAGTAAAATGATGATTGATGGTGTTTACCTTTATATTTTTTATCGAGAACACTGAGAACTTGAGAATCTGCTCCTTTGGTTAGTAGAATGATTTCTTTGGTCATAGGATGTTTGACGATCACAGACATACGTTTTCTTGTAGAATCAAACGAAAGGATATGTAATAAATCAAACTCAACTTCCGTACCTTCTCCTGAAAGGAAAAATCACTCAAATTTTAGATATATTATAACAATGATTTGCAAATACTTTTTTCTCATATTAATGTGATTTCAGCTAAAATATAAATATACCATTATTTAATAGCAATGAACATGCTTCTTCTATAAAAATAATATTGACAAATACTTCCAGGTATAAAGGTCCAAAAATAATCACATTATAATTCTTTTTACAATTTGCTCTCATCCCAGTTCTGTTTGAGCTTGATGTGTCAATTGAACGAAAATAGTAATCTTTAGGACTTGAGATTTTTATATCTGTAAATTGTGGGTGTTCTTCAATTAGTGGGCACTTTTTTTACAATGCTCAGCAAGGTGATTCATGTCATCGATCACAATTAACTGTTAATTTAGGGCGCTGTGATTGGTAGCTAATTCATTAAGATGATGCCGATTGGTTGATTCATTGGCAACATTGCCATTAATGTCATATCTTATCAGGGGATATCACAAAAGAAAGAATGAAAATATACAGGAGAAACAAATCCTCTCTCAGTTTGATCATGATTTAAAACATTTTTCAACTCCCAATAGTAAAACTTTAGATTAGGAAGTTCAAAAATTGAAACTGAATTGAGAATTCAAATTTAAGCATCTTCCATTGTTTATATGAGAACATATTGAAGAATGTATTTCAAAGCAAAACATCATTTTTTTATTTTGGGATTTATTTGTGATTTAGACAGGATGCTACTGACCTCAAAGCAAGTGAAAAAGTGACTTGTAAAAATCTGTACAATACCTGGAAGATGAACAGTAACTTTTCCATGAGATCGTTTTTTGAGACAACATCCATATGTAGCTGCAGCTCTGACCAGTGCCAATTCATCTGGACTTTCAGCTTCAAATCTGATTTTAGCCATATCTGAATATACAGATCCAGCAATACTGCCTTCTGATGGTGTGCGAAGTGGGGATTCTCTGCCGCCACCATTTGCAAAAGACCAAGAATCAGTTAGTTTTGGTGGATGAATTGGTTTTTTCAAAAAGTCTACAGTATTACTGATAGTATTTATAGGAGGTAGATGTGGGTTATTCCCATTGCCATTACGTTTACCATTTAACTTGGATAAACGTTTTTCTTCTTCAGGTGATAGATGTACAATTCCACTTTCATCCATCTGAAATAAAAAAAAAACAAATACCTTCAATATTGTAGAGCTATCTCATTAAGAATATTTGGATTGATGATTTTACACTTAGTATGAATAAACTCGTTAACTCATAAACAAAGACAAACATAAATTATCATCAATACAGGAGTTGGATCTATTTGCTTTGCAGAATTCAAAGTGCTTTTATAAAGTTTATAATAATTAGGTAATTTACTTACAAGTTAAACTCAACTCAATATGAAAATCCTCATACTACTACTTCATACAAGAATAAGGTCCATACATAACTGTTTTTACATGATTGTTATTCTATTAAAAATAATCAAGTTTGGGCTATAACCCTTTATAATGACTAAAAAAAATCTACAGAAAATATCTTTTTCAACATTGGTACGAAAGATAGAAAAAATTGTTTTAAGTTTTGTAGGTTGGTGTAGAGATTCAATAAGAACAAAATGTTCAACTCAAACTCCATCTGAAATTCTCTTTAATATCTTTATCAACAAAAAAAAAAACACGTGGGCCACATGACTTCAGGACATCTGTATTTTCCAATGCATGGCTGTAATTTTGAAAATTGTCAAAAATAACTGTCGATATATTGCACTTTGAATGACTGATTGGAACATAGAATGATACTTGTAATACATCTCCTTAAGATTCAGTTAGACGTTTTACTAGCAAAATGACTTTAATCAAATTCACAAAAGGAGTTGGCACAAAACAGTTTACATCTGAAAGTAGACAATAAATAGTTGTAACCTATCATTGGCTGGCAGGGTAAACAATTTGTGAGTCAAAGTCTAAATGACTGAATTTCCTGTTTGTAAGGATTAATACCAACAGAGGTTGGAACTCCACTCAACTTCATTAAATTTGGTGGGAGTCATTTTCATTATATGTATTGTTAGTTTAATGAAAAAATCGTTTGAATTCTGGTGGTTAGACCTCGAAATTAAAACGTATTCCCACCTTCCCCAACTAAATTTGTGATGGAGGAACAGAGGAATGGACATTTGCATAGTTTTATCATCCCTTCTCTCTTCGAGGCAGGGGTATAAAAAACAGTTCATTATATCAATTAACTTAAAATGGACTATATAAATCCAACACTTTTTTATTTTTTATTTTTGTAGAACTGTCTTGGTAAAGCTACTCTGTCTGTATTTAACCACAATGTCCAACAAAGATTGACAAATTTTATAAGATACTCATCACAGCGGCAAAGAAGCTTGAAATATATTGCTCTTACCCTCTTTAAACAGAACAACTTGCTGATCATTTTGCTAAAATCTGTCCATTTGATGTAATTGTAACCTAGCCTACTACTGCACATGTGCACTTAAATAATTTGGTACTGAGCAGTGCAAATGGGTTAATTTACTGTGTGTTTACTATAAAGTCAGAATGAGAATAACACTATTAATGTAATAATGGAATTAAAATAAAATTGACATGAAAGAACTTCAAAGAGGAATTTTTTAAGTGAAACCTCTGATAACTCAAATCAAATGTATAAATCTCTGAAATAACTATAGATACAACAAGGACATAGTGGACAGAAGTTAACCTTTTACATTCAAAAATAGAGTCCTCAAAATAAAAATGTCAAAGCATTAGGATTTGTACTTGCTGTAGCATTAAAACTATTTGGCATCTGTCAATGAAGCTTATACTTTAAATTTATCTAATGTTTATGAATTGTACATGTGTAGAGTAATATATTTTGAAAAAGTTACACCTTGATACAGTCAGTTATATTAAATAGAAGTAGGCAAAAAGATGAACTTTATTCTTTCTTTTAAATAAATATATACAAAAGAACTTAGATAAAAAAAATACTGTTTGTATGACAGAATTTTTTAGGTTTTTTGGTATTCATGTTAAAATAACTTAACTTGTATTGAAAATATGGCAAATAAAATATGACAAGGTATATAGAGATTTATAGAGATCCTCTGTAAATTTGACAAAAAATTGAAAAACATCATTGCATTAAAAAGGTCATAGATTAAACAATATATCTTTAATTGGTTGATTTCAAAATTTTCATTTAGATAAAATTTTCAAATACTGAAAATTCAGAAACTTTGTGCGCATTTATTATTGCGACTGTTGCACAATAGGCACACATGTGAGATTAATCATTGCGATGTCAAGAAATCATGCATACAAAATCGTATCAAAATTTAAAATGCAGTTTTTATTTTTGCGAAACCCACCAGTCGCATAAATACATCACAAAAATTTCTGGATTTTCACTACACCGACATGTTATATATTATCTCATGTATCTATGCTAAGATTTCTTAAATGATGACATCGACATCTTTTCTAAAGAATTTTAAATACAGATACATAAAATATAGACTTTACTTTACCTAATACAAATGAGGGATGACGTATTTACCTTTTAATTACTAGAAGGCTTATAGAGTACCTTTACCAAGCATTTCTATCCACTAGCTAATCCTATTATACAGGACCTTTTTCTAGTTATATTGAGTAAATATTTCCCTTTACAACTCTAAACTAAGATATATGTGAAGTATTTATCATTTTTATTTTCATGGGTGTGTCGTTATTTAACTTATATCAATTTTAGTATCTTAAGAACTGAAGGCTTTAATTTGCAGAATTTAATAAAACTTTAACTTTGAATTGACATTTGGTATCACTTTGGTAAAAATATTCATGCATATATCTCAGGACACCATTGACACCAACATCACAACAAAATATTCTGGGACACAAATCATAAGACAGGCTTTTGTTTCCACATTTAATTTTTTTCAAAACAACAAATTGACATTCCTACAACTTGAATTCGACACACAATAAATTATAAGCGTTGTTTATTTAGGTTCTGACAATAACAATTACCATCTCCAAATGGATGTCGTCCTGAAAACAATGCATATATTATGATAATCACACTGCCGTCTAGTTTCTACATAGCAGGGCTGTTTTATTAAAATATATCGGATACATAAGTTAATGCCATCATTTTTTTTTCTTATATACAAATGGAATTAGTGTTTGTAAACATTTGCTTCAAAAGAACAAAAAATAAACAAAAAATCCTGAAAAATCTGAGATGGTTACTTCATTGTTAAAGTGACAATTTGATGTTCAACCTATGTTTTAATAGAACAGCCCTTTCATGTTTTGTATGAAATAAATATGAAATATATGAAGAAGAAAAAATTTTGATTCTACTAAATAAAACTGTGCTAAGAACATGATATATCCGCAACAGGACAGCATGAAATATATGAATAAAAAAAAATTTTGATTCTGTTAAATAAAACTGTGCTAAGAACATGATATATCCCAAACAGGTTCGACATAACAAATTCAATGAGGAATAATCTAAAGAGAATAAACCCCAAAAATTAAGGTAAAGAAAGAAAGTACAAAACATGGCAACAGTAAATGTCACATTCTAAAATCAGTCGTTGAAATATAACAGGATCCATGAAGACTACAACATAATCAACCAAAATATATATACTCAATCTTTTACCTTTATTGAATGGGTAAAGGAGGATCATAGAAACAGAATAAGATGACATGAAATTTCTGTGATTATAATTTTTTTGCTTTCAATCAAATGATTATGTTTTATGTCTTTTCCAACAATGAAACTGATACAAAGGTCAAACAATTTTACCACTGTAGTTTTTACTATAATGTAGAAATAGGTGGTTAAGTCTGTAAAACATTGGACCATTAAAAATGAATAAACGATGATGAAAACTGGGATCAGAGATTTGTCCAGTTATGTCAGAAAGAGTTCAAAACAGAAATTCTAGCCAAAACCTCTATATGTCCAGCATCTAGAATCAAACATGGTACTGAAGCAGGACACATATAATGTCTACTTTTATAAAACTATGGTATTATAACTACAAACTACTTTTATATATTATGAGGTTTTGTCACTTTATTTCAATGTTTTGAATGTTGAAGTATGGCTATGATTTCTGCATCGATTAAGTTGTTTACAATGACGTTAAATAATATCAACTTCTTAAATAAACTTAATTCTGATCATAGAAGACATATGTGAATGTAGTATAAATCTAATGCAAATATAAATAAACACGGTGGTTAGTATTACAAGTGAGAAAAGTGAAACACCTTTATGATAATAGAGATTCTAATAGGTAATTTTCTACATGAATGATTGCTCAGTCATTCATAAAATCCTATTACTTACTAGCAAAAATGAGGAAATGATACAAATTTTTACAGAATGAATTACGCTAGTAAGCCAATTAAAACTAACACTGAGTAAAAACTATCAACAAAGAACTATCTATGTGAGATAAAGATACATTTACAAACTGTATCCTTGTCAAATGATTGACTGGTACCTACCAAATCTTCATGAGCATGAGTTGTTACAACAACAGTATTACAAATAGCCATCAACAGGAAGAAATCTTGTATTTTCTGACTTTTCTGATAATCCATCTCGTTATAGTTAGTTGATCTTCCACCGCTACTGTCAACGGTCACTTCAACATTGGTCAAACTCCTCAAACTCATTGTCATTACCTCTCGAAATAAACCGGGTTCTAATTTTAGATTTTCCATAGTCTATAAAAGAATGAAACATTTAGTTGCCTTTAATTCATTTTTGACTGTGAAAATTATTGTTCGTGATATGGTATGCACCAGTTAACATTTTTTAAAATGTGTAAGTGTTCTAAGACAACCTGTGTTGCATTTTGTCATTATATTATATAAGCAAAAAAGTATATTTTATTATGGGAACTCCAAAAAAAATTCCTCAGAAAATTTTTAAATAGCAGGTGCACAACTCAATATCTTGAAGATGAATCTGTTAAAAGATTGGTAAAATCATGTCTAAGCATTTTCAATGAGGTGCAGATTAACAAAGTGTGACACCATGATGCAAGACAACAAAAGTGATCACATCAGCCAATCACTACAACTTGGATGTTAGGCGACACAAGTTTCATTTTTCAAGTAATTATGTTTAAAACAAGAAAACAATCATTTTAAATAAATGCTGAGCAACACTCCATCAATAAAGCAAAACAAATAAAGTCAGTCAGTCACAAAGCAGTTAAATTATATTGCCAGTACCATAAGCCACAACCTTACTTGTAACAACTGACTGTCCTCAAATTTCCATGGTTTAAAGGCTTTTGCAAACTGTTAAAGACATTAAATTACTTTCAATTTAACAGACTTCATTTCCAAAGTTAAACTTGTTATTTTGACAAAAAAATAAATGTTCCACTCCCCCAGTGAAGTAACATGATTCCTTTGCCTTGCTTGGTTCTTATATAAATTATGTTTTGCATATTTATAGCTCTTCAACCTTCACATTTAAATGTGCTGATTATCAAGTTTTCTGCATACTGATATATACATGTATTGTACAATATCAACTGCTAGTTAGATTTAAAGCTCTTTGGTGAGTAAATATATCAAAAGAGCTGAGCTCAAAATGCTTCATATTGTGTCCAACAGCTGATATTTTACCGTATTGTTATTTTCTTAAACTTTGTTTTGATCTTTTTGTGTATTAATTTTCCATCTCAATCGACTTGATATAAAAATAAGGAGATGTGGTATGATTGCCAATGAGACAACTATCCACCAAAGTTGAAATAAAGTGGATGTTAGCAATTATAGGCAACCGTATGGCCTTCAAGACTCCAGTAGAGTGAGAAAAAAGAAGAGATTATAAGTCAATGTCATTGACGTCCCCTAGGAAAATAGTGATATACATATTATCTTTAGTCTTTCAATTGGAGGATATTTCTAGGCTACATCTCATCTCCCTTTCACCCTTTGATGAGATGGTAGCAGAGAAAATGCCTCTGGTTTTCAAAACCATTGATAATCTATAAATACATATATGTAATGGAAATCTGATAATTGATTTATAAGGTTTCAATTAACATGAGTGGCTTTCATAATTAGAACCAAAGTTAAATAAAAACAAAAATTATCATGGCCAGGTCAAACACATCTTATGATTGGCCCCGATTTTTTGAACTTGTCCTAGACATTGCTGATATAAACCTGTGATATAAGTTTTATAAAAATTTGGAAAGACTAGTACACATGAGAGTGTTAACAAGACCGAACGGAAAGACGGATGGACGGCCAGTATTTCTATACCCCCGCGACGCGTGGTGCAGGGGACAATAAATGTACTAGTAGAAATTCCCCAAAATAACGAGGTAAAATAAGTAATTTTGTTGACTGTCTTCTTTTTCGAAAATAATAGAAAGGTTCATTCATTTCAGATGGATAGTTTAATGTATTCAGACTTTATTACTTATGACGGAGGTATCATGTAGTATTCTAAAATTGCTTCCCTATTTTCAAGGTGCATTCCCTGGGTACCAGGAATGGAACAGCCCCCAACAAAATCTGTATAAATGTTAAATAATATGTTCACTCACAGAGCTTGATTTACTAATGTTTGTTCCTATTGAATATCTACTGTCTGTTTCACTGTCATCTATATTCTCATCAAATTCTGTAAATAAATCATATATCAAATTTAATAGTTTTAAATACAATTCATTTAATGTGTATATTCTGGAAGCAGTTAAAAGACTTTAAAATTTGATGCTACTAAAACAAAATAATACTTGTCTCCTTGACAACATTAGGAAACATTTAGTAAAATGTAATGACTTTTCAGAACAGTGATTATGATATATTCTATATTGCTATATTGATCCAATTATAAGTATTCTTATGCCTTAACCAATCAGGTGGAACCAGCCACATTGATCCAATTACAAATATTCTTATGTCTTAACCAATCAGGTGGAACCAATCAAGTAATACACTGAATCAATGTAAGACTTTGTAATGTAATCATTTTCATGTAATGATGACAGTGGAATCTTATCTTTTTTGTAGTTTAAAAGATGTTAAATTCATGACTCAAAGAACATATATAATATAAGATGCTTTCTCAAATGATATCCCACATACAGTTTTCTAAAAATTATAAACTGTTCAAATCTTTTTTATACTTGCATACTAATTTATATGTACAAAAATGTAGGGTATATTTTTGGGATAACCAAATAATATATGTACCATAGTTATTTCATCTGAAACTACATTTCTGATCTCTAGATAAAATCATTATAAGAGATTGTTCAACAAATTGGAAAGAAGCAAGCACTTTTTTAATTATACTATCATGCATCCATTTGTTTACTTGTTTTATTGCTTTATACTTATTTCAGCAAGTTCTGAAAAGCTAACCTACGAGACTTTGAATTCTAGAATAAATCTTGTAGAATAGTACCAGTGGATTCCAGGAATTCAATCAACCAAGAAAATCAAATGAAAAACGATTTTATTATCGTGTTCATCTTATCAAGGATATTTTCTCAGCTTCATGGTGAATTATTTGCTTCTGAAATCCATTTTATTTTTTCTTAAATATAAAAATATGTAAATGTATAATTGCTTATAAGACAGCTATACACCAGAGTCCAAATAATGTAGCTGTAAGCAACTATATTATATATCACAGCACGGCCTCCAACAATGAGCAAACCATATTGATTGTTATCGATTGTTAAGCAAAATTGCAAGTAAGAAAAAAATAGAAATAACAAACCTGGTGCATGTGGATAATCTGTTCCCCAAATTGTACATGATTTAAATTCCATTTCATTTTCTGTTAATGTCCCAGTTTTATCAGAGAAAATATATTCAATCTGTCCGAGATCTTCTGTGATGTTTAAAGCTCGACACTCCATCCTTTTATCACTTTTCTCATAATATAAATCCAGATCATAATTAATAAAGAAAACTTGTCCTAGTTTGACGAGTTCTATTGACACATATAAGGCTAATGGAATCACAGTCTGAAATAAAGAGAAAATAACTCTGAAAATTTTCTGAATAGAATAAAATATGTGAAAAGATAATTAATTGGATGTACCATCATTTTCTTGCAGCCTTTGAATGTATAATATATACCTTCATGATCTAGACTGTTGGTCACTAGTACTTTACATTAAGAATGTTAATTTTATTCATATTTCAATGTAACTGCTGGGATGGCTATGGGCAAATGTTACAATTTCTAACTAAGAAAAAAAATATATTATAAATATTTTTGACCTTTTTCATCAAAATTTAAAGTTTGCTTAAAGAACAAACAGCAAAACAGTGCCACATCAACGAGGACGTATATCATTTTGATCATTCAGCTTTTCATGTGTTTAGATAGTTATACATCATTGGCTTTCAATATTTGTCAGTATGAGCCTTCACGAAGAAAGTAAATCCAGAAAAAAGCTTCTGACACAACAACTTCATAAACTGTTGTTTCATTTTATTTTCAATCTCAATGAAAACTATTAATATTTACAATCATTAGTTTTCTTGAATTGTACAATAACTTTTTGTTCATTTGCGTGAATAGCCATCTTAAATATTAGCCAATAAACAGTAACAACTCAGAATCAGAAGAAATATTTCTAAAACATTATGTCTCCCTTCGTCCTAAGGGAAACATAACAACAGCAGTATAAAAAGTCAAGCTAACTAATTACCATACAAGAATATCCTATTGTAACAAATGTCGATGTAGATAGTTTAATAAGTCAATACCCATAAACTGTTATCACAGAGATATGTCTCGTCTTTTTGTCATTTTGATAATGCAAATGATGAAATTAAAATAGCAATACTTTAACATGTAAGTTATGCAAATATTCAAAGTCAATGAACCATGACTGAAGGTACATGGCTATATAATCTCCATGGAAATGAGATAGACCAATGCTAATACAACTGCATACCAAATACCATTGACTTATTATAAGTGGTTCCCTTTAAACAAACCTAAACACAAACATTAACTTGTAAACTATGTAAAAGTTTCAAAGTCAATGAACCATGATGAGGGGGTGGGGCTATATAATCTCCATGGAAACGATGCTTGCAAATGCCAATAAACTTGCATACCAAATATCATTGACTTAACATTAGCAGTTCATCTTAAACTGATCTAATCACAAACTAATACATGTAAACTAAGCAAAAGTTTCAAAGTCAATAGACCATGACTGAGGGGGCAGGGCCAAATATTCTCCATGGAAATGAGATGTGCTAATGCTTATACAACTGAATACCAATTAACATTGGCCTACCACTAATGGTTCCCCTTGAACTGACCTAATCACAAACTAATACATGTAAACTAAGCAAAGTTTTCAAAGTCAATAGTCCATGACTAAGGGGGATGAGCCAAATATTAGCCATGGAAATGAGATGTGCTAATGCTTACACAACTGCATACCAATTATCATTGACTTACCACTAACGGTTCCCCTTAAACTGACCTAATCACAAACTAATACATGTAAACTAAGCAAAAGTTTCAAAGTCAATAGACCCTGACTGAGAGGGCGTGGCCAAATAATCTCCATGAAAATGAGATATGCCAATGCTTATACAACTGCATACCAAATATCATTGACCTACCACTAATGGTTCCCCATAAACTGACCTAATCACATACTAATACATGTAAACTCAGCAAAGTTTCAAAGTCAATAGACCATGATTGAGGGGGTGGGGCCATATAATCTCCATGGTAATGAGATGTGCCAATGCTAATACAACTACATACTAAATATCATTGACCTACCACTAGTCACTATAAACTAGACCTAATCACAAACTAATACATTGTTGATGCTGCCGCCGCCGGAAACACCATACCTTTGTTTCACTTTTTGACTCCATCAAGGTGAGACAAAAACTATAAAATCATCAAAATCTTTTAGTCTTTTAAGATTTTTTTTGAATATTCTTGTTTTAAATGTTTTATCACTGATTTCATTATCATGGAATCAAATTTCATTTCATCTTATAGCAAATATACTGATATTGATTTTTTGGAAATTGGATATTATTTGAAATATATGAAAGAAAGATAACCTTTTGTTTCATTTAGCCACACATATTTTTTCATACTTTTAATGATTTTAAGAAAAACATTAAAATGCATTGATTCAGATTAATTGCTTACAAATATATACAGTACCATGATATAAAATAACCATGTAAGCATGGGCAACTGTATATAAAATGTAGAGGAAATGTTGATGACAGCAAATATGTTACCTCATAGTCAAAAGGAAGCCCTCCACATTTTATAAAAAAAAATCAGAACTCCTTATATCTTGGATACCATTAGTTTGAGTGTTTTTTTTTAATAATTGGGTTAATATGAAAAATTTTAAATTTACTTGATGAAGAGAAATGCCTCCTTTCAAAACTAAAGATACCCAAAACTATACTATTGTATCTGTATCTAAATCTATTGATCAGAAAATTTAATTGTGGCAATGCTTAAACATTGTGTATAACATACTTAAGAGTTTGAAGAAAACTCAAATCAGGATAGATTAGAGGAGGGACAGTCTGTTCGGTTATTACTCCCCCCCCCCCCCCCTTTTCCCCTTTTATGTAGTTTAAAGAAGTTGACAGTATGTACCTGGAATAATATAATGTAGGTAAAAAATACAACAAATCCCTGGAAATATGGATTATACCATTCCTCACTTTCAAATGGGATAAAAGGGACTATGGTACTGTCCTCAAAGGCTCCTAACCATACTGCACTCACTGAAAAGAAAAAAAGGCATATGATAGTTTTAACTATCGTCATGATCGTAGGAGGGGTTTAAAAAACAATTTTATCATGAATTCATATGATAATCATTTACGTTAAGCAAGGTTATTGCAGTATAAATTATCAAAGTAAGCTAATCTAATCCACAAGTCAAATGATATGTCAAATGTCAGAGAGATCTATTTTCCTATTATTTATAGTAACTGTTAACATGTTGGTATCAAATCTCATTTCTATACTCTTCCTTTGTTATTATATATACCAGTTTATATATTCAATAACTAAGAAATCAAATTACTAACTTTATTTTTGAGTATTCAGAATGTAGAAAAATAAGTATGTCATAACTAAAAAAGTACTGGTATTATCTTAATTAGAAACATTACTACAAAAAATCATTATACACATTGAGGATCACTTAAAATTGTATTCTTTCTTCAACATATGTATCATATTTATATCATGTATAAATAACTGCAAGTCTGAACATGTATCTTTTTTTCTATATCAAAAATGTTCATGCATTGGTCAACCTTCAAAAAAGTTACCATTAATTCAACTGGAGAGAGAATGGTCCTAGTGACAGCCCTACAACCATTTTCACAAAAAATCTAAATACAACTGCCTTAAAGAAAATTCTCATTTAAACAGATAAGATATTTTTAGATATAACAATTTATAAAGTTTTACTCACTGATTGCTGAAAGAAAACACATCAACAATAACAAGACAACACAGTAAATAACGTCACGGTTTATGCGTCTCTCTAATTTGCTACGTTTATATCGTGGAGATCTGTTATTCAACATTGCTTTCGTTTCATGACCTGAAAAATAAATTCAAAAATAAATTTGCAAAAAATAATCTGAAATTACAAACAAATGATATTTCCAAAAATATCTATCATATAAAGCAATTAATGTGAACTAGGAAACAAAAATTATGCTCTTTGGGTAAAATTCATCCAATAGTAGTGAATTTTTGCCTGTTAAAAACCTCATTTTGCTTTGTGTGCCTAACTTTCTGAGGTCAGTATAACTAAGACTTAGGTTTATTTCAAACAGCATTTTAATCATAGTTTACAGAGTCTTTTTGTCTTGATTGTGTATGCATTTATGATATATACAGTCACTGACTGTAAACAGGCCTGTCATACCTGTCTGTTAGGAATGTTACCTATAATGTTTTGAGGTGAATCTAGTTATCTTGCATATTATATTTTGGCATTTTAAGACAAAATAACTTATTTCTAAGGATCGGTGTCTGAAAGTGCATGCCAAATACAATAAAATACACATACACAAATGGATAACATTTATGTTACATCATTCAATGAAATCTGATCTTATAACTGAAGGTAAGAAGAGAATATTTTCTAACTTTGGCTACTACATTAAATTTGTAACTTGATCCTATTAAAAATGGGAAAACCATTTATTTTCACGACATTTTCTATAACAAACCAACTCAGGTTGTTAATTTTCTCGTTTGAATTGCTTTACTTTTTTCATTTGGGGCCTTTTATAGCTTAAAATATGTGGTACGGTGACCTATAGTTGTTAACTTCTATGTCATTTGTTCTCATGTGGAGAGTTGTCTTGTTGGCAATCATACCACATCTTGTTATTTTTATAACAATAAACGTTCAGTATGATAAAAGTCTAGATAATATTTCTACAAGTTCTGTAAGAAGAGACTGTTTAAGCATGTTAAGAAAGCTTTCACAGTAACAAATTACCTCCATATACAACCATTCCCTCTATAAAATCTGTGTTCCTGATAGTACATCCCCGAAGTAACAGATTGTCTTTATTCAATGGTACTTTTTTCTTTCTATCTGGTCCATGTTTACTGTAAGATTATAAAAAAAATAATGTCAAAGAAAAACCTAGAAATGATACAAATATTCTGTAAATCTTGTGCTTTATATTCATATATATGATTATAATCGCCATAATTGTTCAAAAACAATTGGAAAGTAAAGTTTTGTCATGCAAGTAAGAATCCTGTTAACTTCCAGAAATTTTTTATTGAAAAATAACGAAGAAGTATCGTTTCAGAATGAGATGGCAAAGTTTTTTTGGTTTGTATTACTTATCAGCATAATTTGATTAACGGAAAACTAATCTTATTTGGCAGTAAAAAAAGAAATTCAAATAAGGCTTTAAAATGTTCAAAAACACACTCCTTTGTATTTAAAAAAACTATAAAAGTCAAGACAATAGCATAATACTAGACCATTTCTTTTTTCTATAAATATTTTTAAACACAAAACCTAACTATTGAATAATCACATAATATAACGGTAGTAACTTTGCAATTAGATATTCATTACAGTACTTATACATGATATATTGTATTGTATTTAGTATATTCTATTAAACTTTAAAATCCTATGTATTTTAAATGTAATAATGATTTATTTACAATAAATAGCCTCCTTATTTTATTGTTTATTGTCATCTGTGTTTACATTAAATTATTGCATATACCCAGTATCTGAAAATTGATCCAACCCCACAGGCTTAACTGACAATAATTCAATACTGATCTTATCTAGATACATGTATGTAACAGATGGTGCATGTAAAATTTCTTAACAGGAAGAAAAATAAGTTATATTACAGTTTATCTTAGTACAACTGTACCTGGCCTGGGTTTCACAAAAAATCTTACGACTTAAATTTACCGTAAGTATACTGAATTGTTAATGACATACGATTGATTTAAGTCGGAAGATTTTTTATGAAACAAGGATAAGGTTGTTAATATTGTAATTATACAAAAGTAATATTTACTGTTTTTTCACATGAAATAATTTTCTACGAAAATACAGTAACATTTTGTTTTCACAATTTGAGTGACTTATATCTGAAAAAATATATATATAAAGTGTAATGGGAATTTGAAGATTTATATAAAATGTCATTCCAATTCTACCAATGAATAAAACATGACTATTAGTAAAATAGAACTCAAACATTCAAGCAGGAAGAATTTCATCATCTATGGAATGCCCCTTTTAGGAGAGAGAAGAACACACATGTTAATTCTTGTTTTAGATTTTATTGTGTGTACACTTAATCCTATAATTACATGTAATATATAAATGCTCAAGGATAATCTGATTATACAAATCCTATTGTGCATACCAGCATTACAACAATTCAGACAAAACTACACTGTTACATCACATACTTAATATTATGTATGGCATGGTGATTGAAAGTATGGATCCATGAATTATTAAAATTATATTATAAAAAAAACCTAAGTATCCCCATAGATAACAGAAGTAGGAGAATGGTTGATATTCCATCAATTTTATTTTCTCTATGAGTACATTGTAAATGTTTGTTTACATTCTATATGTATTTTGACTTACATATAACCAGTGAATTTGTATATTTCTGCATTAGGTAAATCACATTCTACTTCATAGCAAAACTTTTCTGGTTTAAATTTGTCCTGAAAAAGAAACAGCTAAATTAGTAAAATTATAATTACCAGTGTATAAGAACAGACCTAACTCTAAGTAATAGAACTAAAATATTTTTTTTTTACAATTTAATACCTGATACAAACCAAAGGACTATCGGTGTTGCAATTCATTTACTGAATGGCAACTAAAAGAACCCTTTTTTTTTACACTTAATTGAATCATAGTTTTTGCATTTACCAAAACTATTCAGCAAAAGCTCATCCTTATAAAAAAAATTATTGTGCTTCACTACCCCTGTATCACACTGCTCAGTATAATGGCTTTAGGACATGAGCAAAATTTTCAACAATGTAGCAATGCATGAGAAGTTATCAAGCACTCACTCACCAAAAGGGTTCACATTGAGGCTCTGGGAAGATATACACCGATTATCAGGTTGTCTGCATATTGATATTGTAAAATATCAGTTGCAAGTCACAATATGAAGCTTTTGGTCAAGTGAACGCAGCGAACAAGTTCAAAAAGGCTTCATGTTGTGTCGAACAGCTGATATTTTACAATATCACATATGATGAAAATCTGACTTTATCAGATTGTATTTGTGTATTTTACATGATAGAAACAAATGTTTTTCTTTGTTTCACCAGTAAACCAGAAGATGACTTGATAATTTCCACGTCACTCAGTGATATGCCGGGTCGAAGTAATTGAGGACAGGTAAACATATTTCACGCCACAAAGCCGTGATATGTAATTTTATGAAGAGCTGAGCAGAATGATACAAACACATTTGGATCAGTAAATATCAGTTAATGATGACCAGTAAAACTTTACAGGATCTTAGGAAAAATAATTTTACTGGACATTTAGTCCAGTGTTCTCCCCAGGGCCTTTTAGCATCATGGTAATATGATGCTATATTTCATGAATGTGATGCTATCTGAAGTGGTTTTCTTATAGATAGTGTTATGGATGTGGTGCTATAATTTTTAGAAACAAGATGGTATTTCAATTTCCCCTGTTTACCAGGATGCTAAATGAAATATCTGGGGAGAACACTGTAGTCCAATGAAGTGTCACTAATGACTGAACAGGTGGTCTTCCCAGTGCCTTTTAGCATCATGGCCATGTGATGTTTTACAGTTTATGGTTGAATGTGATGCTATATGAAATGAGTTTCTTATAGAAGAGAGGTGAAAGATACCAGAGGGACATTCAAACTCATAAGTCGAAAATAAACTGTCAACGCCATGGCTAAAAAAGAAAAAGACAAACAATAGTACACAAAACACAACATAGAAAACTAAAGACTGAGCAACAGGAACCCCACCAAAAACTGGGGGTGATCTCAGGTGCTCCAGAAGGGTAAGCAGATCCTGCTCCACAAGTGGCACCCGTCACGTTGCTCATGTAGTACAAACCTGGTTATAAGTCTAATTCGGTAGGTCACATTCGGGAATTGTAGTCACGACATGAGGAACATATCCGCTACCATCTGTGAAACAGATATTCCATAACGGTCAACCAACTCGTGATGGCGTCCGTAAAACTTACAAAGGGATGATTTCAACTTCACCACTTGGAACTCTTGGTTTAATAGCTTCCTTGTGAGCAGCAACCCTCTATCAAGGAAATCATGATAGGAAATACAAGCCCTGGAATGTCTTATAGATTGTGTTATGGATGTATTTCTGGAAACAAGATGATATTTAAAATTCCCTGTTAAACAAGATGCTATGTGAAATGTGTGGTGAGAACACTGACTGAACTTGACCTACTTTCATTGATTTCCCTAATGTCTGACAGTCCTTCCATCTGACTTTGTGTTTTGGATTCTGTCACCCTTTTTCAGTAACTACTGATAAACATGATTATATATACCAGTAATGGATTTTAAATTATTATCATTCTTACATGCAAATGTTTAATTATTTGAGATCATTGTTAATATCTGCCTAAACTGTCAAATGCATGACTTTAAAAGAAATAACTTATTCTTTATCATGAGGTGTCAGGTAACTGTCTCAGTGTTAAAGATTGCTATGTAAATTTCCTGAAATATAATCTCCTAATACCTGCACCTGGTAATGATATTGATTAATTGCAATAAGCTAAGTATAATCCTGGTCTTAAATCACACAAAACTCAGAATATACCAAGAATGGTAATTATATCATGTATATAGGTTGGATTTAATATGCATGTTTATTTTATATGAAAGGTTGATGATCATAAAGGAGACTGATAATATATCATATTAATTCTCATTAACAATTCAATATTTAACTATTTAAGAAAACACTTATACATGTTATATGTTAGAATGATAATAATTTGGTTAAATTTTTTTGATTTTTTTTTTACCTTAACATGTTTATTGAGCTTAAAATTTTACCATTGCAATGACATTTTTATCAATGAAGCATCAAATATGTTTGCTTATTTAATATTTTTGGAACTCTGACAAATATTAGGTTTGAATTGTAAGCCAATCAGACTTTAAATTGTAAAGTTCATTTTCTAAAAACCTTGTGTGTTGTTTTGTTGTTTATTATGTTAAGAAATGTCTTGACCTATAATTTTACCAATTTTAGAATGCATAAATCGTGACAGATCTAGCTGATCATGATGATTTGTTAAAGTTGTATTTAATGTTCAATGTATATCAATCCTGTGTTAATTTACAAAGTATAGAATTTTTTGGGGGATTTTAATCTATCAAAATTATGGAATAATATATGAATGTGCAAGAGCATTCAAAAATTACACAAATATACACTGATTTGCTATCTAAATTTAAGACAAAATGAACATCTACATACAAGTACACATATGTGTAGGCATTTCAAAGATACATCTTTTCACTCATTTATTTAAAAAAAAAATTTTTTTTTTTAATTCAGGAGGTACATGGGTCAACATCTAAACTGAGATATATTTTTGTTTATTAGACATACACAAAACATTTGCACTGCATTGTAGGAAGTGTAGATGAAAATGGACTCTCCACCCTTTAGAGGAAGTGCAATGAACTCTACTTAAATACAGACCTATTGGTATTCACACACATTTTGCAGATTACAATTGAAATTAAAACCAGGACATAGTTTAAATCTTTTATTTTCAAGTTATCACTTTTTAAAAGGATAAAATGTTATTTCAACTTCATAAAATTGATAAGAAAACTTCAAAATCTGCTTTAAATTCATGCTAAGACTTTTGCCCAAATAAATTGTAAATATATATATAATGTCTAAAAATAACAAAATCAACATTCAATCTATTTAGACGTGGATATATATATAAGTCGAGTGGTCTAGGGCATCGGGCATAGTGCAAGGCGATTAGTAGCATGAGTTCGAATCCCGGCCAGGAAAGAACAAAAAATTTGCTTCCGCAAATTTACAGATCTAACATTGTTGGGCTGTTATTTAGACGAATAAATATATACATTGTAATATGGTAGTCTGAATATATAGGTGTACTGTACAAATATCATATAGGAGTGGACTTTACTTGTATACATTACACATTTAAATGGAATCTTAACTTTACCTTTAAGTGTCAAAAATTGGAACTTCAATTTAGAAAATACCAAAATGGACATGTCACAGATAAAGGTTAATTCCTTAGCCCTTTTTTACCTGTACCAATTTGATTTGATCTGAACCCTTAATCATATATATTTGAATCACTCTTGCATAAAATATAGGTCAACCACATACAAACTGTACAAGGGTTATTCTTGTGTAAGATGTAAGTCAAGTTGAGCCAGTGTTTTTATTGACTTCTGTAGTTACCATAGATACATGTACATGCATAATCATTTCAAAAATATCCTTTCCTCTATCATGTATATGACTTGCTTAATATTGATGAAACTGTGCATCAGTCATTCACACAACAAATATAAGTCAAGGTCAACCAATCATAACACAGACTTAGTTCTATCAAAGATGTATATACATGAATATTTGTTCACTTCTGTCAAACATCCATTTACAGTCACTCATGGTAAATACAAAGAGTGATGCCTCAAGTCTGAAGGTGACATTAGAAATCAGGTACCCAATTCAAACATAGAACAACTATTTAAAACTATACTGAATTTGATTAAAGTCTGAATTCTAATTACAATGGTCAATTCTCATCTTGATGTTAAAATGCAAACAAGAGAAATGTGCAAATACAAATGTAAATCATTGATATTCACTGTTATTGGGAGTCGGAACAGTGATCTCATACAAAAGCAGGTAAATACTGACTGTTTTAGAGAGGTCACTGTTATTGGGAGTCGGAACAGTGATCTCATACAAAAGCAGGTAAATGCTGACTGTTTTAGAGAGGTCACTGTTATTGGGAGTCGGAACAGTGATCTCATACAAAAGCAGGTAAATGCTGACTGTTTTAGAGAGGTCACTGGTATTGGGAGTCGGAACAGTGATCTCATACAAAAGCAGGTAAATGCTGACTGTTTTAGAGAGGTCACTGGTATTGGGAGTCGGAACAGTGATCTCAAACAAAAGCAGGTAAATGCTGACTGTTTTAGAGAGGTCACTGGTATTGGGAGTCGGAACAGTGATCTCATACAAAAGCAGGTAAATGCTGACTGTTTTAGAGAGGTTACTACTATAACTAGTTAACAAATATATTGAAACTTTTGGACATATTTCAAAGATGTCTGTTTTGTTTTTATTTGATACATATGTTGTTGGGTTGCTGTAATTGGCATATACCCTACATCTACTTTTACAATTTAGATTTTTAGGTCTATTTCTCATCAGAATGATTATGAATTCTCTTATGATCAAACACTACAAATGTACATATGTACATAACTGTGGTACACTCTATCTAAATATAGCATTAGATTAAAGACTTTAATACTTTTTATAAATTTTAAAATATATGGTTTCAAACAATTGTTCAATGCATGTATATGTCATACTCCAATGTTTCATTCTCACATGATACAATAAATTTTATACTAAATAAACAATTGATCAATAAACATGTCTCCTGTCTTTGTACTACATACTAGCTATATTATTTATATCATGTATATATATCAATAACGTAAAATAAAGTCAGCTAAAATGTTTTAAAGGCAGTAACTTTAATAACAATTTGAAAAGAAAAATATTTCTTGCATTTTAATCAATTTTTTCTTGATGACAAAATGGCTGCTTGCGATACAAGTGAAACTGTACGTGTTAACGCCCAAATGGATCACCAAAAAAAATAAACAAATAAAAAAACAACTTTGTTATTGAGCACATTACAGGTAATAAATTAATTCAAAAGACCAAAAGTGGTCTTCACAATACTTTGGGTGTAGGGCAAATGATAACATCATTGTCATGATTGTATAAACTCTACTTTATAGTTTTTGATATTATATATAATCAACTGTAAAAAAGGAGTTCTTTTATTAAAATCAGTCTGTCTAAAATACTGTATAAAATAAATCAAATATAATTTGGTATATTATACATTTGTGTATGTATTTCATGTATTTTTTTAAAAGGTTTAACTTGAATCACAAAAAAAATAAAAGTTAATATTAATATAATTTAACTTGCTATCTAAGGGAAACCATATCAGGAAAATATCAATGAGAAGCAAAAGAATTTCCTTATTTGTTTTTTGTTTTACACTTGAAAGTCATTGAGCACATTGTATAAAACACTTAATGTATAAGTATGGGAATTAAAATAAACATAAAAACACATCTCCTGTCTACTTCCTACATGCACTTTATGTGTCAGCAAGGTTATTTTCACCATTATAGATTCTAACATTGATCATGAGGGTACTTTGCTTATGAGAAAATCTAATTCCTTAAATGTTTCTGACCAATACAGAAAACATCTCAAAGGTAAAGGAACAGAGCTTTACTTACAGTTCTTAACTTAATTTGTAGGAAGTTCAATACAGCATTAATTAACTATTGATTTGAGAAAAAAAAGCAATATGTCTAAATAGCCACATATCTTTGCCACAAACATTTTGATGATATGAGCATCACCCAATTAATCTTAAGACAAATTATAGAATTCCAAAAATGTGATAACAGAGTTCTCAAAATCTTTTTTTCTCTGGTGGTCCTTGAAGAAAATCTGCTGGTCCTCACTATTTTTCTATTGCAAAATACCAAAATTGAATCTGTCCTTTGCCAAATTTTGGTGGTCAGGACTTTTGGACCTATTCTTTTCGAGAACTCTGCCAACAGGTAATTAAGTCATCTGCGAGGCAAACCACTGCTTAATTAAATGATGTTTTCAAATGGATTCAACTTTTTGTCATAGTTCTCTATTAACAAAAATCTTTCAAAAAGGGCCAACATGTTTTAAACTTACTTATCATGGTAATTACCTTTATTTGAAGATCATTTTTGATAAATATTGTCCATCATTCACATCAAAGGAGAGAGGTATCATAGGACCACTTTTGGCACTTGAATTTGAAAATCACAAAGTATTGTAAATCAATCCGATAAAACTCTTCAGATATATACAAGCCATTAGTATGTCACAAATTAGTAATAATACATGTACATGTATATCAGAATTTTCCCTCACATATTTGCAATTAGCATAAATACACCTTGTAGCATATATCTCATAATCACTCAGAAACAGGGTTGGCAAAGTATTACCCGCCCGGGAAAACCCCGGTGGGCAAAACTCCCAGAAACGGGTAATACTGAGCAATAAGATTTTTTAAGCTTATTTCAACACAAAATAGTAAAGACTTGTTGTAGTTTCATAGTATTATAGCTAAATATATACCTTTTATACAGATAACCATTGAGAGTCATTTCTAGAAGATTGAAAATTCAATTTTATTCTCTTTTCCACTAATTCTATGTAGGCAGAATACAAGATTTGCACATTTTATGATACCTTCCAAGCATTGTTTCAATAATCCAAACTTTGAAAAAAATGCATTTTATTGCAGTGTTTAGTAAATAAATTTAAATTGTTCTGCAATCATATTGCTAAATAAACACCCTACAGGGTCATGTTATTAACCCCTATAGAAATGAAAAGGCTGATTATTGTTATATAAACATATGTGTTCTAATCTGAATTATTACTTATTAATTAGTGATGTACATAAAATTATGTAAAAGTAATTTTTCTTACATGTATATTTAAATTGTTAATTCTTAATATTAGTTATATATATTTGAAAAACAATGAATTCTTTGGCTTTATGTTTACAGTTTGACCAATCTAGACAGAAGGGTGATTCAGTAGATTTTTAGGAGAATTATTGAGAAAGGCTTTTTCCATTAATATTTGTCTAATGTGTCTTTATGTACACTTGTCTCAGAGTTGCTAGAATAATACTTTCTCAAATAAGAAAACTTATTTATAAATCAAAATATGTTTATTAATATCTTAAATGTATTGCATTTGTGTTTGATCACTGGATCCTCTCTAAAATTCAGGCCAGAATTTTATATTACGCAGTATTGCCCAGAATTACCCGGTAAAACACAGTAAAACATGGATTTTCCCAGTATTTCCCACTGGGCTGGGCAATACTCATAAAATCAGGGTTTTTGCCAACCCTGATCAGTGATAATTAGAAAGCAGCATCATACTTGATCAAAACAAGACCACTACTGGGTCTGGACCGACTACGCTGCATGCAATCGATTGAGGTAACATGTGATCCCGAGCATAACTGATCATTCCCAGACCAAATAATAAATCATTCCCTTTCAAAGAAGCCAAGAAAACTTTGACAAAACTTTTCCTTGTAGATTGAGTGTTGTAAAATTTCAAACTATCGGCAAACAGGAAGTGGCTACATATCAGATGTAAAAATTGCTGACTCATCACAACTCATCATTATCAACCTGCAGACCAAATATTTAATTTCGTATTTTTAAATATACAAAATATATATGGAAAGGGTGGGGTACTAGATGTCTAAGCTGCTCATCCCTACTATAAAAGGATAGAAGTGGCCCCTACGACATTATCACATCTCCATGTTCAGTGAACTGTGAAGTCAGGGTCAAAACTTTATATTTTTTTTCCATATAGCATCCTGGTAAGCAGGGAAATTTGAAATATCATCTTGTTTCTAAAAATTATAGCATCACATCCATAACACAATCTATAAAATAATCAATTCAGATACATGTAGCATCACATTAAAGAAATATAGTATCACATTACCATGATACTAAAGGTATAGAACCACTAATTCGGGCCCGGTCTGAAAGAACATACAAGAAAGTAGTACATATTTCAAACAAAATAGTTCCTACGCATAGCTGTAACTTTTAAAATTTGTAAAATATCTGGGTAATTTTGGTATCAAATGAAAGCTGAATGACTGTGGACCATTGTAGAACCTTTGTGGAATAATTATATCAAATAATAAAAAAGTTTTATGAAATTGAAACAGGAGGGTATTTATTGCCTGATTCTCAGATCTGAAGTACCTGTTTTTGTACTTCCGAACTTCCGGGAACCAGTGCGGTCTTATATGCAATTAAAGGTATGATGATTTTTCCAGCAAGGGTTACCAGAAAGTATTGTTTTGACATGGAATGAGTGTCACTTTATTTGAACTTAAAACGAAAGAGCTGTGAAAGCTTGAAATTAAGGAATTTAACATAGAAAGCAATGGGACCATTAATTAGTGGTTTTATTCCTATTACAGGAATCTGCACGTGCACCCTTGACATTGAGGTAAAAAATTTGAATATTTTTCTGAATATTTTTGAATGATTTATCAAAAATGAATATTGAGCAGTGGAAAACCATGCAAAAAGAGAGAATTTTCAATAGTATTACAGTGCATGGTCCACACAACTGTTGGACCTGTGATCTGGGAGGGAAGGGGCAAAAATATTCAACCCTGTCTGTAAAAATGCCATGGGAAGAGAAGAAAAAAACTGTCCTTAGCCATAGATTTGCATACATGATCTTCAATAACAATTTTGAACTGTCAGAACATTTAATGGATGTGTCACATTTATGTCACCAACCCCATTGTGTGAACCCTGGGCACCTATCTTATGAACCACATCATGTGAATATGGACCGACAAGTTTGCAGTGGAATTTATCCACTGCGCTGTAAAAAGCACGAACCGTACAAAGACTGCATGTTATAAAATCTGTAAAGGTAGAAATAAAAGTAAAATTAACAATCCATATACAGAATATTCAATATTTACAAGTAATTTTATACAATCAAACAGGGCATGCTGAAAATTAATGCTTTCTGGGTTGTCGCTTTGGATATGACTTGTCATGGGTAACACACATTCTTTTCATACAATTTTTATCATAATTTGGATCAGCCATGCCTTTGCGATAAAATACAGGCTGCGAATAATGTATCGAAGCATGCAAACGATACTTTCTGTTTCGACTGATTGCACGTTTCAACTTTGCAACATGACTGCGTCGATATTTGTACATGTATAATTCATGCCTATCTCTCTGTTTCAGATTCATGAGTACTTTTGGTGCTGTGATTTTAACACCAAGCTCTTCAGTGAGCAGGAGAAGAGAATTTGCAAATCTATGATTTCTCATGTGAACTGCAGCATGTGCACGTCCTGGGAAATTTCTGGAAAAAGTCACATTCTTCGGATTGCAACGACTTAGTGCACGATTGAATGCTTCACTTTTTTGTGTCGAGGTAAGAAACCGTACAATATTTAAACTATTGGTACCGAGTAAAATTCTTATACAGTTTTCAACTTTGACTTCATCATCACATGTCATTCTACATGTGCTACCGTTCGGAATAAAATTCTTTATCCAATGATTTGAAGGCAAACCAGCACACACATAGGAGTTAACCTTACAAGAGGATCCACAATAACCTTTGTAGCACATTATTATAGTTTTAATTACTTCAGGCATGTGCTGCTTAACTTTATACAGTTCACCCTGATGCACAGTAAAGCTTTGATTTAATTCTGCAACACACCTTGCTTTAATATCAAGTGCAAATCTATTCTTGAGATTGGCCTTCTTTGCACCAGAAAAAAGATCCGGACTAAATGTGCACCTTGTAATAGCCCGTTTCATAGTTGCTGATAAATGTCGAACATCACGAAGTGCTTCAACATTGATACCGTGAACTTGTTTGACACCTTGATATGATTTACTATCACCATCAGTTGTTATATGGGAGATTTACAAGTAATCACTGATCTCGGTTGCACAAGAACTACTGTATACTGCCTCATTACCAATGGAGGCATCTTCAGCTATATTTGCTGTGCACACACCTCCATGATTTGGACATATAATTTCAATACCCTTCCCTCTCAACCTAGTAGCAACACTACAGAGTTTATTACCCGTAAATAGTGACACAATTTGTTTGGTCGAAGTATTATTTTCCGACATTGTGCACACAACCTGAGTACCAGCTTGAAACGGTGTAGTGCCGCTATTTATGAGAGGGTTGTTATATCGACAGTCCGATTCAACTCTTACAAGTTTTTCATTAGATAGACCACATAATTTATTTTCCTCAACCAAATTTCTCCTTATGTCTTGCATACTTGCTTTATTCAATTCCTCTACCTGTTTTGCAACTTTGTTTGCAGTCTTTTGCATGCCAGATGAGGAAGGTGGAACCATATTAGAAATCATAAGAATGTCTCTAAAGTTTTTATTTGAGATCGGGGAAGTTATCAGACCACACTGAATCTGAATATTCAGCTTTGCTGACTTTGGACCTCTTTTGTTTGTTTCAACAAAATCATACAATCTGTAATATTTGCTAACAAAATCACATTTTTGGCATTTTAGCCTTTCACGCCAAACGCAACCCCACTGTTTTTCATTTTCTACATCAAATTTTAAGTCACCTTCACAATCTGAGTTATAAAGTATATGGTTTCTAATTTCAGAATTGAAAAGTGATTCTACATGTTTAGGAGTGTACAATTTATTGGGACAAGCATCAGAAGAGTTATTAGCAGCCTGAAGGTACTTGTCAACTACATCAAGATTCTGGGGCTTTGGCCGAAGGATGACCTGTTCGACAGGAGTTCCATCAACATTTTCAATTGTCAATATACCATTTGAACTTTGTCTTACTCTGCGGTCAAAGACACTTTGAGAATGCCGACAAAACTGATTTTTCTTAGATATTTTGATAAATTCAATTTTTTTACCTTTATTCCAAGGGACATAACCCTTTTTGAAACCATGAATTTTTGACAACTTACTTCTTTTGCGAGTCATTATTCCCCTTAAAACTGCTTGAACTGACTTCTTCTGCTTGTCAAATTGTAGTCAAACTATTACTCTCCAATAAAAACCATTAGAATATGTACAATATTTTATTTTTTAACAATTATAGCCTTAAATTAGACCCCTACCTCTGTTCTGATACATGGTTTAGAATTTATACCTGCTGAGGCAAATACATCCTGAGAGCTGATTATTAATTGGATTTAAAGTGACATATGGTAGTTTAATCTCAAGATAAATTATTCTTTCCATTTAACAACTTTTTATTTAAACAAAAATAGTTGATTGGCAATAAAATTGGCATAAGATCTGGAACTTTAACATTTTTTAACAAAAATTTCAAATTAAAATCAATTTAATTTAAATTTAAATGATATATTTTTAGAATTTTATTGGCTAGTTTGATGAGGTAAGGCATACGGTGAGCTAATAATGAGAAAAAATTACACTTTAAACCTTTTTAGACATTCAATTTTGATGATCAATGTGTCTGGTGAACTACCCAATTTTAAAGACTTTTGTAATGAGAATCAGCAGAAATAGGGGACTTAGTTTTTTCAATTTTTTTCAGTAACCCTCTAATATAAACAAGTGAAATTTTAAAAACATACTCAGAAATGATTGTGGAACATGACTGATGCATTGAAATCCTGTTATTTGAGCAAAAGTGCTGTTATAGGTATAGAACCACTAATTCGGGCCCGGTCTGAAAGAACATACAAGAAAGTAGTACATATTTCAAACAAAATAGTTCCTACGCATAGCTGTAACTTTTAAAATTTGTAAAATATCTGGGTAATTTTGGTATCAAATGAAAGCTGAATGACTGTGGACCATTGTAGAACCTTTGTGGAATAATTATATCAAATAATAAAAAAGTTTTATGAAATTGAAACAGGAGGGTATTTATTGCCTGATTCTCAGATCTGAAGTACCTGTTTTTGTACTTCCGAACTTCCGGGAACCAGTGCGGTCTTATATGCAATTAAAGGTATGATGATTTTTCCAGCAAGGGTTACCAGAAAGTATTGTTTTGACATGGAATGAGTGTCACTTTATTTGAACTTAAAACGAAAGAGCTGTGAAAGCTTGAAATTAAGGAATTTAACATAGAAAGCAATGGGACCATTAATTAGTGGTTTTATTCCTAAAAGGCTATGGGGAGAACACTGATATAATCTTCTAAACACTTCTTTAAGGTTTTAAAATATCTAAACCTCACCCAGTTTCTACCTTTTAATGGTTGCATCACAAATACATATTTAAAATTCTGGTTGATATATTACAAGTGAGCTGCTTGATCCCTGTCAACTTAGGTCCTCCCTTCTTGCCTTTTTAAGTTTACTTTTAATTTCTTCTTGTTTATTAGCAACTTTGCATACATTTACAAACAACTATTAAAGATCCTGAAATGTGTATGTATGTCATTGACTAAAATCAATACCAATCTATTAGATCATACAAAGTTATTAATTTTTTTTTACTTTTTAAATGGCTCTTGTCTAAAAGTTACATTTCTAGTTCTGATTTAAACAAAGTCCTTATCAATTGTCTCCGATACCTGTTATTTGTTCAGCTATGTCCTACTTCCTGACCCCTGTTAATACAATTACCTGATAATCAATGCCTTCTACTACTTGTCTTTGCTTCAGATTTGTCTCTCCGTCTAAATTACTGGTTTCTACATGACACAGACCAGCGCGATCACTGCTGTGTAATAATAATATATCAGCTGGTATGATTTCATCACATGATAAATGTACAATATCTCCTGCATAGATATCCTTCCATTCTGTCTTAACATACCGTTCATCCCCGTCACTGAAACAAAAATAATATAGTTCTTATAAAATGTATGATAAAAACAATTTAGAATAATATTTACGAAATGATTTACAAAAAATGTTTATCATGCTACGGACAGTAATAAGTGTTATGGTTTTGGTATCTAATTTCCAGAAAATCATTTCAAAAAGCTTGCATTGTGACTCTGAAATCATAATTAGATATAAAGTTTTATCCCTTCCCATGGCCAGCAGTAGTACTTGTTCAGTGCAATGAATAGCAATGATGAGAAGATGTACAAAAAATTTAACATTAAAATGATATATATACCATGTATACTGTTGTTGATTTTTTTTCTATGAACAAAAACATGTACATTCAGATTCATATCCTCATTCCATTATGCACTTGGTAGGAAAACTACCGTATATCATTGTATATAGGGTCTAAAGAGAAGGTATGTACATATCTTTAATTCATATAAAGTTGTAAACTGAATATTACATGAAAATCACAGGAAATATGAGCTTCTCACCATTGTTTTTTATTTGAACAAATCTGTGTCATTTACCAGAATGGAGTATCATTTGTAACAAATCTTAATTGAATTGAACAATCAGATTCAAATTTTTTCAAATAACTTTCTGGAAGCAAATAAAAAGTGGTACTAACATTTGTAACAGTTTCTTATAACACCTTTTACATGAACACATACTTGCACATATTTACCAACATAAAGAAAGGAAGTTTCCAGCACCGGACTTTCTAAATTTTAATGTTTGCCTGGATTTTATTCTTTATATAATTAGCGGTCAATGAAAGTGGTCTACCATAAGGTGTCTATAGAGGACTTTTCCTGTTTAATATTGTGTTGTTATTTGGTTGCGGTCTCATTTGGTTACAAATTTCTTAACCAAGGCGTACAAAATTTTACTACTAGATAAATATATATATGTATCAGTCATGATTGTACTATATATAATATATGGTGATCAGTTCATTCTTGAAGTCATACGACAGTACCATTCACATGATTCATAACATTAAACATGGTAAAAAAAAAATGAAAGTTCAAAATCAGAAATACAAACATAATCATGATAGTTAAACAGCAAATACATAAATTACATGTATTCACCACCAAAAAAGACATGTTTTCTCACTGGGTTCCGGTAAACACTTTTCAAATGTACATTTGTTAAATTCATTTTTATGCTGAAATGAAGAAAAAATATATTGCTTAGATTTCAATATAATATATTATAACTGACATTGACTAAACACTAAAGGATATCCTTATAAGAAAATGATATAAATCACGATAAAAGCTGATCAATGTCTATTGTATTGTATAGGCCAAAAAGAAATTTATGTCTTATATCTGTTTCAGGTCTACTGACAGACCAAGTTTGATCACTGACCAAAAAAACATTAAAGAAATAGCATTTTGTGTTGATTGAGAAGACTACAAATTCTACTTCCACTGGATTATTCAGTCAAATTTTTCAATAAACAAAACAAGTTTATTTCTTTTAAATTTTGACGGACCAAGAACTTGGGGTAGGAAACAGACATATACACATGTACAATGAATTTGTTTGCCCTATACAGGATTTAGATAATACTACTGTAATTACGAAAGTTCTTTAGGAATGTTCTGCGATAGGCACATTATTTACAAAATGCAATGTAATTAAAAAACTAAAATTATTTATTCATGTTATTTGTGTTGTAGTTACTTGAACATGTATTTTAAACTTTCCTAAAAATTGATCAAATTAAAGATTTATACTAAATAAAGTTATACATGCACTCATATTTACATGTGTATTCTTCAATTTCCATGCCAGAAGTGATCACAGTAAGGATATTAGTGACAACAACAACAACAAAAAGATTTTTCTGTGAAACATGTTATTTTATTTGCGTGTAAACACATGAAACGTGATATTAAGGGCTGTCTCATTTAACATTTGATCACTCTGCAGAAGACTTTAGAACAGACAAAGTGTAAGTACATCTACCTGAATACATGTACCCAAGCTGACCTTGATTTCAAAAATCAATAAGTAAAATGTTATTACAAACACATGTATTACATGTATTAAATGAACTGTAAATTCAGAAATTATTGCAAGGTTTTATTAATGTGTATAATGTGTTTGGGTGAGTATTGCAATAATCATGAGTATCTGATTCATATATCTGTATGCAACTTTTCTTGAAATCCCAATAATTTATCTCCCATTTTTGTCTATTCTTCAAAATTCACAATAATAAATGCACACAATAATTTCTGAATTTTGTATACAAATGTATGTACAATTTTGCTATAACTTCAAATAGGTATATTGCACAGTAAATGCATAGTGGAACTGTTTAGTCTGCAAAACCAACATGCACATTGTTTCATCACTTGTTTGTGATAGTTGCATAAAGCGGTTTCACCAAAAATGTGTTGGACTAAAACATGCTCCCAAAAGCACATACTGGATGTGTAGAAGCTGCCATTGTAAATAAAACAAGCATTTTGAGAGTTTTGCATGGCAATACATATATAGTCCCCTACCGGTTAAAAGACCAAGAACCATTACTCTGCATAAAATCATCAGACTGGAAAAAAATTCGAATTTGATCTGAAACTTGTCATGATAAAACTATATACCAATTATCAAATCAATATCTTCAAGCATGACAAAAAAAAGTGAGGAAAACTGATTATTTCAGTGAATTTTCTAAGTCCAAGGACAATAGCTCTGAACAAAATCATCAGACCGGAACAAAACTCGAACTTGATCTGAAACTTGTCATGATAAAACTATATACCAATTATCAAATCTTCAAGCATGACGAAAAAAGTGCGGAAAACTGATTATTTGAGTGAATTTTCTAAGTCCAAGGACCATAACTCTGCACAAAATAATCAGACCTGAACAAATTCGAAATTGATCTGTAACTTGTCATGATAAAACAATACACCAAATATCAAACCAATATCTTCAAGCACGAAGAAAAAAAAATGTGGAAAACTGATTTGCCGGACTGACAGACCGGAATGACAGACAGACAGACGGACTGAGTGCAAACCTCAAGTCCTGCTTGAATTTCATCAGTAGGGGATTAATAAAAAAAGTGTACGCAATGTTTACGAATAAAACTTTTCAAGTTTGTACAGTATTTAAAATACATATTACTAGTCCCAGCATACATTGAAGTGCATTAACGTAACAATAATACAACATTACCGTAGCAGGGCCTAATCTAGGATTTTGGAGAGTCCATGAGAGAGTAGGGAGAAGTGGTCAATTTCTTGGAGAAGTGAAATTCCATTACCGTTTCGGTTATAGTGTTTTCGTGCTTTTCACTAACATGACCAGTCAGGGGTACTACTTAAACAAGTGATTTCATTATCACCTATTTCAGTGATTTTTTAAATTCAGTTATCACCTATTTAAGTGATTTTGGTGTTTCCTTTGATCTTCAAATGCTTATTTCATTGATTTTCCATATTTTCACAAACTTTTCTATAATTTTCCTATATAGATCAATTATCCCTTTATCTTTGGATAGCAATTTCACTAGTGCGCTTGGCCAGTAAGTTAGTGCGCTAAAGCTTTTAAAAGTACCCTTGGGAATTGCTCTGTAATCAAATATTCATTAACTACTCTTACTATCAGACAAAGGTCAACAATATTAGGTAACCTGATTGGTTTTCTTTATAGTTAGAATGATTTATTTCAAGGTTATGTCCTGATCTACAAATTATTCCAGTTTTTGCATATTTAAATAAACTGTAAAAACTGACAGGCTTATCAAGCAAAAGACAATTTCTGCATGTACATAGTTGTCTTTTCAATGGAATTCTTGTCTTTTTACCAATAAAAAAATCAAGCTTGTGGGAAAAATATCAAAAAAATGTTATAAACACTTATTGAAGTGATTACATTTTAACTTCTCAAATTACTTGTTTCAGTGATTTTAAAAAGTCTGTGCAAAAATTTTTAATATTTCACAGCCAAAATCACTCAAAGAAGTGATTCTGAAATCACTTGTTTAAGTAGTACCCCTGACTGATGACTAAGGAAATTGTTTTATATATGCAATAAAAAATATACTTTCATTTTTTTCATATGATATTATACAAAATGTATATATTGAAAATTCTTAATTTAAAAAGGGTTAGACAATATTTGTTATTTATTTATTCATACCATTTATACTGTCAACTTGAGTTTAAGTTAAAATAAAATTTGTTGCTAGGGACACGAGGGAGTTGTCTATTATGATGCATTAAATTCATGTGCATCTGCCTCAATTTATTTTTAAAAGCCCAGAAAAATATGACTCCCAGTTTATCTGATGAATTTTACATGACTGGGCAATTTAACATGTTTAATGTATATCACCACTTGTGAGTTGTCATTATTTTGTAAAACATTATTGTATGTCCCGGACATCATGTCAGTTGTAAATTGAGATTCTCGTGAAAGATTGTAAGCCTATAGATAATAATAATAATAATAATTCTTTATCTAAAGAGGGTTACACAGTTAGCTATAACACTAATCTTCCCTGAGGCCCTCATAAAATGCATTGAAATATATATATAACAAACAAACAATTACAAAATAATAAAACAAACACACACACATAAGAAATATCAACTAAGAAATTGATATGAAATATACAATTTTCAAAACATGTAAAAAATGATGAATTCATATATAATAGTATTGGCATCATTTAAATTACCTCAACAATATTTAAAGTTTAAGTAAGCGTGTGAAAATTAGAATGCATATAAAGTTACACAGCTTCTTAATGTTCCAACAAATAATTTTTTAATTCTTTTTTGAATGAGCTTGTACTTGAGGTTGATTTTTTCAGGGATATTGGTAAGTTATTCCATAAAATAGATCCTGAATATATAAAAGATTTCTTATACAGCTCTGTTTTGGCTTTTGGAACTTGCAATTTTTTGCAAGACATATTCCTCAAACAATATTGGTTTATTTCTGGCATTCCTTTAAATTTTTCAGTTAAATATACAGGACTTCATTCTTAAGGCATTTCTGCATCAAAACAGATTTATGGTATGAGATTCTGTTCTCTACAATCATCCACCCAAGCTGTTTAAACATCTAGGTGCTGATGATGAAAGTGGATCAGCATCTAAAATTAGTCTTGCAGCCCTTTTCTGCAATTTTATTATTCTTACTAGCTCATTTTTAGCACAACCACTCCAAATAATACAACAATAATCTATCAGTGGGAGAATATATCCATTATAAAATAATTTATTTGAATCAATATTTAGAAATTTCTTGATCTTAGAGAGTAAATGAAGTCTAGATGATATTGATGAACATAAGTAATTAACATGGCCTGTCCATGACAGATTAGAGTCAATTCTAACACCTAAAAGTTTTTCAATTGATGATATTTGAAGAATATTATTCTAAATAGTTAGAATTAGTTCTGCTGGATTTAAACGTAGCCTTTGTCTTGTACAATGTACCTATGACCATACATTTTGTTTTATCCGAATTTATGAACATGTTATTTTCATGACACCATTTTTCGACACATTGGAGATCATCTTGTACTTTTAATGAAGATATCTATCAATCATATATTAATTAAACAATAAAGAGCTAATTCTACATGTATCATTTCTTTTATACAAGATATCTTCCTTATTAACGAATTGGTCGTGAAAAAATGCACTGCTAATCACAAGCAGGCCATGTGTCGTACGTTTGCAATCACATTATCCATCAGCTATCTTTCTACCTTTTATATTTCAATTATTATTCAATGAATATAAATAAATTGCTTTGCAGAGCGCAGCTGGATACGACCCCAGAGGTCCAACCCTGAAAGAGTTGGGGCAAAAATGGACACAATATTCGCACTTGATACAGGTCTGATTTTGGATTGTAATTAAATATTTGACACAGAATAACTGTAGTCAAAGAACTTAAAATTTGTTATATGATTTGAATTTATATTCAATTTTTTGCTTTTGTGCAATACACTATGCTGTTGCGAATTGTCCATTAACCAGGAAACCCTTGTTTTTCCCCTTTTTTTGCCCCTAATTCCTAAACGGTTTGAGCCATAACCCCCCAAAGCCAATCCTAACCATCCCTTTGTGGTATGGAAACTTGTGGTATAATTTTAGAGAGATCCATAAACTGTTCCACAAGTTAGTGTCTGGAAACTAGAAAAATGCTTATTTGGGCCCGTTTTTGGCCCCTTATTCCTAAACTGTTAGGACTATAACCCCAAAATCAATCTCAATCTTCCTTTTGTGGTTATAAACCGTGTGTCTAAATTTCATAGATTTCTAGATCTATTTACATTTACTAAAGTTATTGTCCGGTAACCAAATGTATTTGGACGACGTTGTTGACGACATGATAGCAATATACGACCGCAAAATTTTTTGCGGTCTTATAAAAATCTACCGTTAATTCCCACCCTTAACCTAATGAATAGTACAACTGATCAACTCGTAAGAAATATAAATAAAATAAATCAGCTGAGTGATTTCGCAACATCCTCAGATGAAAATTATCGTAAAATGATAACTCAAAAAGGCGCTCAGTTTCCAGTTTGAATAGTTTTGAATGTTACATCCGAGGATGTTCAAAGTTGCTGTTGTATTTATTTCATTTAATCGATGTCAGTAACAGTCCTTGGTCGTTTTGAAAATCTCAATTTTCCTTGTCAGTCGCCAATTTTGTTTACCTGTGTGACTTGTAAATCACAAGTTGTCTTCCTTCACCGATTTTGATAGAGATTTGACTTCGCTATGAAGTCAATAGGCTGGCGAGATTTAGCGATTTTCAAAATTCTTTGGCGACTTAAATCGCCATTTCACCGGCAAGATCATGGCCTGCGTAGACACAAATATAACAATTACTTTTTTATTATTGTTACATTTCAACGTAATGGTAGCCAGTGCCAACTTCCAAGTATTAAATGCCAGGATGTTTCGAATAATGTATTATAAAAGACAATTGTTTGAACTTGAGATATATATTCTCCTGTGACTTGTCAGGTGTCAACACAAGCAAAACTAATTAGCGATCATTAGCCACATTCCTGATACATGTACATGTACCCCTAATAAGCATTAAAACAGTTAACTAGAGGGCCCTGTCCATCAAGATTATTATAAAATACAATGGCAGTTTAATCATGGGAAAAGCATATCAATCTGAATTAAGTAATTGATAACCAACAAGAATATGTGTCTGTTTGACACCATGACCTGCTTACACTATCATTTGTCCATGTTCCATAAACTGTGAAATAGTAGACAAAAACTCAATATTATACATTTGCACTCACCTAGAATGATGTTTGTAGACTCTGCAAGTTTTATGGTTTATACATTTATCAGACTTGTATCTTCTGAAATCTTCATATGCATCTTTAATAGCAGTTACTAATAAAACAAATATCACTGGAATCATAGCTATTTCTTTTCCAAATGCTGCAACTTGTGGTACCCAGTTCAAACATACCACAAATATGAAATACAAATTAGCAAATCGATGAAACTGTTCAAACAAATTCTTTGGTATGAAAGTTATTATTGAGTACTTTGTCGTTCTAATTCTATTTGATTTGAACGTCCTATTAGGGTGACCCTTTGCGTTAGGGGCCAAGTCAGGTGGTTGAGTATGATTTGGTGTGACAGTGCGTGACTTTGGTCCAGATTTGTTAGTCTTGTCAAAAAAATTTCCCATTCTGACTCTTATATTGCTGATCAAATTGTTTTGTAGTTTTTGTAAAAAAAATTTCAGTATTTCACTCGTTTCCGGTTATACCTATACCTTGCCAACACGTGAACATATTTTGTAAACACATTTCAAGAATAATCACATTAAACTAAATAACAATTCCTTTTCAAATAAATATTCCACAATCAAGCTAATTTCCATTACAATCAATTCATATGTTAACGTCTTGCAGATTTGCAATCCTTTTCAACCATGACCTGGAATGAAGGTAAAACCAAATATTCCGTCATAGTGTCCTATGTCATGGTTTACAATACAGACATGGTTGACTTAATAATCAGTTATAGACAACCATAACCTTAACGTTCGGGTGGACATCACCCAGGGTAACTTCCAAACACATGTCCCAAACTGGAATGCATTTTTTTAATCGATTTTTACAACACTCTTTGTGTACATACACAACTACGTCACCACAACATAGATACCAGTCGTTACGACGTGTTCGATTGGTGAAAGGTTTGCTAATGCGCCAATTAAAACGAAGATGACAACAGGTGCTTGTTCAATCACGTGATTTCATGTTGAGCACATGATCTCAAAATGACAGACCAGAATCAGAGGGAGTGTCTCATATTTTTAGGGAAACTTGACTCTAAGCAGACCAAACGTGTACGTTAAGCAAAAAAGAAACCCTTAAGAATATACAACATATTCACACTTTTTATTCATCCACAACTAAACTGTTGAAGTTCTTTATGTGGGAAGAATTCTAGTCAAATCGGCACCTGGTTAAATCGGCATCTGGTCAAATCGGCACCTGGTTCAATCGGCATCTGGTCAAATCGGCACCTGGTTCAATCGGCATCTGGTCAAATCGGCACCCGATGTAGTCATTTCGGCACATATGTTAAATATGTTGAATATATATCTTTTTTCAGTATTTTAAGCAAAAAGATTAAGATAAAGAAGTGGATGTCCAGAAATATGATGACTTATTAACATTTTTTGGTGGTTTCTGTATGTCTATTTTTTCATTCAACTTAATTTATGTGTATTCAACCATTTTTCTATGGGTGCCGATTTGACCAGGTGCCGATTTGACTTGTACCCTGGCTGCTGTAGGGTTTTCCAACCAGACAAATAAACAGCAATTACCACCAATAACTAGAAAAATTTGTAAGGGTTCCGCGGAACCCAGTGTCTCGCCTACTTTTGCTGTCGTCTATGTTTTCAGTGTGATAGGGGAATGCACATAATAGATTTACAGTTAATGAAATAAAACATTTGAAATGTATGAATAAAGTTATGCTTGTCAAAAATGAATACAATATGCAATCAAATCTATAGATTTATAAAAGAGTTGAAACCAGGGCTTCCAAAAAAAATTTGTGCCAGCCGGACATTTTTTGTCTAATCCCGATTTTGATCCCTTAAGACTATGTAACAAAAGGCAATCATGCTAATCAGTTGGGCATCATATAAACAATGAATGATTGACATAAAAACGATATTAAACTTGACTTTTGATACAAATTCGATGTACTGACGTAAACTGTTAAATTGGCAGTGCATCATTCGAAGTGTGCAACATTAGCGTACTAATTTCTGCCTTAGAATCTTTATTTGTGCAAAATAACGTTGTCGAAATCTTAAATTTCGTTTTTGAAGGTACATTTTCTTTTACTGGATGTTGACTTGACAATGGTAAAACACGGACCAGAGACGGATATGAAAAATCCGTGTACTTTTACAAAGCACAATCGAGTTTAAGTAACTCTTTCCAACGTCATTTCTTCAAGAAAATACTTGAAATGAACGTTAGATAAAGGTATCAATGATAATTTTGGCATTTATGAAGAATTCGGATGCGTAATTAAATCTCACAACTGCATACATGTGCACGCGTGTACTCTGTTCAAAAACGTGGCTTGACAATTTTTTCGCTTAAAACCTTTATAACTACCTTTTGAAATTTTTCATCAAATCATATTTATATGCATATTTTTGATAATTTAAAATCTTTTTGATTAAATTAATTAGATGCAAACCGCTGAAATTTATGAAAATAACTTCAAATAGACCGATCAATGTCCTGTACATATTAGTTTACCTGTCACCTGAACAGGTAAATTTCAACTGTCTGACAACTAATTAACCTTGATTGTAATGAGAGGGTATTAAAGTAGTGTTTGTTTTGATAGTACTTATTCACCATGTCACTTTTAAGGTTGTTTAAGGCTAAAGGTCCAGTCAAAAAGATCGCAAAATCTTCAATTTTTTCTGAATTATGTTAAAATGGCAAACCACGTTAAATGTCCGTTTCAGGTTTGGAACAACAAGTCATATTTATAATTTATCGGTCATGTCCGGGAAAAGTACGACCGTTTTGGAAGCCCTGGTTGAAACATAAATTTATTGAATGAACAAATGATAAATAAGATAATTTTTACATTGCTTGATGATTTATCCCTTAATTCAGACGACGACGGAATGTAGGATCGCTATGTCTAGCTTTTGCGACAAAAGTCTCAGGCTCAACAAAAATGGGGAAAAAATTATTAAAAATTTTCCTCTAGATACTATCTTTTGATTGTAAGAAGCTTCTGTCCAAGTTTGGTAAAAATCCGGGATGGTTTATGAATCTAATAAATGTTTTAAAAATTTTAACTGCAGACTGTATGTAATGTTAACTGGAAGAAAAACTAAGTCCATTTATAAGTAATATACGGAAAAACAGGAAATAAATTTGTACATAATTTCCTTCTAGATACTAGCTTTTTACCATAAACAAGCTTCTGTCCAAGTTTGGTACAAATCCAGGATAGTTTAAGAAAGTAATTAAAATTTTTAAAACTTTAACTACAGAGTGAATGTAATGCTAACTGGCAGAAAAACTAAGTCCATTTATAAGTAAAATACAGATAAACAGGATTTTTTTTTAACAAAATTTACTTCTGGATACTATCTTATGATCATAAACAAGCTTCTGTCCAAGTTTGGTAGAAATCCAGGATATTTTAAGAAAGTTATTAAAATTGTGCTGTTCATGCTATGTATAACTTGGAAAATAATGTTAAGCGTACTCGAGCTAGTCAACAAACATAAGTTTGTGTTGTGTTTTTCTTTCAGTAGTTGGGATGAATGTATTTAGTGGAAAGAAGACAAATTATATTAATTATACTTATTACAAATACAATGGAACACACACACATACATGGACATTTTAGTGTATTGATTATAGTTGTATATTTATTATTTTGGTATGTGTATTATTATTTTTTCATTGTCAAAAATCAATTCTGTTTTAGTTAAATGCAATTGGAAATTTTGGCAAATTCTGTTTTTGTGATTGTCTCTTATCATGACATGACATGGTTATAGACTGATTCAATTTTTTTAGTGCCGTATCGAAAGTTTTTTCTTTTGTTTCAAATAAATTTCTTAAGTAGAATATTTTCATTGACTGTATCAGACATTTTGTTATGTTGTTTGATATGTTTTATTTTACTTTTGTGGGTATTAATTTTTGCAGATTTAGAAAAAAAAATTGTGGATACTTGATTTCATTGTTTTGTCAAAGTCTGCATACAAGCCTATAGATTGCATTTCTGTAAATATCGACAATGCAATTTCCCATAGGAACTCCTTTTATGGCTAAAACTGTACCACTTTTACTATGAAGTTTTGAAAAAAATTATATCCTAGAATGGAAAGTTCATATGCACTACTATTTTTTTCAAAGGTAAAAATATAGGGCTGTGCGGCATATTTTCAACGTTTATATGCCCTGGACTTCCAAGAGTTTAAACTTACACTAAAATTCTTTACTACCCCTACCTTGACTTTATGATTTCCACAGATTTCAATTTGATCGATATGCATATGTATATTTACTGGTAACATTCCCAAGTTATGTCTCTATGAGATGAAACATAGAGATCATATCTGGGAACCAGTATGTAAACAGAATTAATTATCTATGAATATTATATATCTCCCCAAAAGAGGCGTGGTTTGAGAAACAGCTGTATTTACAATGTGCAACATTTATTAAATCAGTGGTTCACATATACCCTTAAAATGCATAAAATACAAAATGTTTATGAAAATTGGAACCCCTTGATGCCTTGAATGATATTAAATCCACAGTATTTCTTAATCATTCAAAGAAAAAAAAAGATCAGAATAAAAAAATAATGAAAAATAATCATAACTTTTTACTTCCATACATCAATTTAACTTCTTGAACATAGTATTTCAAAGGTTGTTTATATAATTGTAGGTCCTTCACAGCATTGTTGATGGTATATGTAGGTTGTTTATATATTTGTAGGTCCTTCACAGCATTGTTGATGGTATATGTAGGTTGTTTATATATTTGTAGGTCCTTCACAGCATTGTTGATGGTATATGTAAACTTGGGCGACCAATCTATCAAGAGTATGGAGAAGTCTTTACACTACCCCAGTGGTGGAATTTGTCAGATGCCTATACAGGACTAGTAAAACAGGTTGTTAAAGAAGAAATTACAAAAGATCAGGTCAGGAACCCTACTGAAGAATTAAATATTAATCATAAACTTATCAGTTTAAGTTTAGACTCACCATTTGAATTGTAATCAATGATGTAAATGAAGGTAGTCTTTTTACTCGATACAAAAGTTTGAAAAGGGTATCACATTAATTTCTGTTCTTAAACAAAAATCAAAATCATTTTTTTAGGGAAAAAAGAACAAATGATGATTTATCTTTTATATGTACACTGTTTTAAATTTTAAAAAAAGTGTTCCCACTTGTCAGTTTAGATGGACTGAAAATTTGTTTTTGATGTATATGATTGAACATTTTTTTATAAACTTCCATTTGACGTCACACAAAATACCCAGCTACAGAGTCTGCAATATAAATTCATCCATTAAAAGTTAGCTAAACTAGAGGCTCTAAAGAGCCTGTGTACCTCACCTAGGTCTATGATCATCTCCAACAATGGACTCTCTTCAACATTGTGGACTAGAATAGAATTCCTGACAACTTTTTTTTTTTATCTTGATCTTGTATTGCTGATAATTTTTCTGTTTACAGTTTCTATTTTCTTTAGTTTTTGCCTAAAACATAAAAAACGGTAAACAAAATATCAATTAAGGCAATCACTCCTATAAAGAGTAAACCAACAATTTCAGCAAAATTGTACTTATTTGTAGATCTTGTCTTGCTGATCATTTTTGCTATTTAAAGTGTGTATCTATCTTATATAGTTTTCAAGTTAGTAGACAAAAAATGTAAAATATTGGTAAAAATCGTCATTAAAGAGCAAGTACTCCTACAAGGAGTTGAATGATGATTTCCGCTATTTGACTTATTTGTAGATCAAGTCTTGCTGATCATTTTTGCATAACTATGTTTCTATCTATCTGAAATATTTATAGTTTTTCAGATATTAGGCAAAAACGCAAAAAAATGGTAAAAATCATAATCAAAGGGCAATAACTCTAATCA